TTCTATTCTATTCCTAATTCATATTCATATTCTATTCTATTCTATTCCTAATTCATATTCTATTCTATTCTATTCTATTCTATTCTGTTCTATTTTCTATTCTATTCATTTTCTATTTTCTATTCTATTCTATTTTCTATTCTTTTCTATTCTATTCCTAATTCATATTCTATTCTATTCTATTCTGTTCTATTCTATTCTATTCTATTCTATTCTATTCTATTCTATTCTATTCTATTCTATTCTTTTCTATTCTATTCTATTCTTTTCTGTTCTATTTTCTATTCTATTCTATTCTATTCTATTCTATTCTATTCTATTCTATTCTATTCTATTCTATTCTATTCTATTCTATTCTATTCTATTCTCTCTCCACTCCACTCCATTCCATTCCATTCATTGGATCTTTATTGGATCCAATGCCCCATTTAAACCTGGTTTGGAAGCAAGGGCTTAGTTCAATCCTGGTTACAACTTTGTCTGTCTGTCTTGTGTTAGCTTTTGGGAACGCAAAGACCATTCGTAACGACAACTCCAGCCGGTTTGGGAAATACATTGACATCCATTTCAACAAGCGAGGAGCCATCGAGGGAGCTAAAATTGAGCAGTACCTTTTGGAAAAATCCCGCGTCTGTCGACAGGTAAAGGATACCTTACAGACACCCCCTCCCCCGCCTTAGGTGTAGAGGTAGTCCTCGAATTATGGCAGTTCATTTAGTGACCATTCAAAGTTACAAAAAAAATGACTTTTTTTTTTAAAATTTGATTTATATGCCATCCTTCTCCGGAGACTCAGGGCGGCTTACAGTGCGTTAAGCAATAGCCTTCATCCTTTTGTATATTTTATACAAAGTCAGCTTATTGCCCCCACAAACTGGGTCCTCATTTCACCTACCTTAGAAAGGATGGAAGGCTGAGTCAACCTTGAGCCTTGGAGAGATTCGAACCAGCAGAAATTGCAGGCAGCTGTGTTAATAATAGGGTGCATTAAACCACTGTACTATCAGACTTATGGCCGTTTTTCACGCGACTGTTGTGGTATCCCCATGGTCACGTGATCAAAATAAGGCCGTTTGCCAACTGACTCATAGTTATGACGGTTGCAGTGTACTTGGTTCACGTGGTCTACTTTTGTGACCTGCTGACAGGTAAGCCAGATTCACTTGGCCACCACATTACTAACTTAACAACGGCAGCAATTCGCTTAACAACTCTGGCAAGAGAGGTCGTAAAAACGGGACAACACTCACTTAACAATGGTCTTGCTTAACAACGGAAAATTTGGGCTCCATTGTGGTCACACGTTTAAGGCTGACTGTTATCCATGCCAACCACCTTCTCAGCAAGGCCGTGGGGAGCTCTGCTGTTGGGTGATGTCCTACCTTGCAAGACTGTTGGGAAGAAGAGAATCCAGATCTGATTATTAAAACAAGGAAGACAAGAAGCAACAGATGGAAATTAAACAAGGAGAGAAGCAACCTAGAACTAAGGGGAATATTCCTAAGAGCGGAAACAATTAACCAGGGGAACTGCTTGCCACCAGAAGTTGTGAGTGCTCCATCACTGGAGGCTTTTAAGAAGAAACTGGGCAGCCATTTGTCTGGAATGGAATAGGGCCTTGATGGCGAACCTATGGAATCTGTGCCACAGGGGGCATAAAGAGCCCTCTCTGCGGGCATGCCAGCCGTCGCCCCAGCCCAGCTCCGCCGCGCATGTGCACACGCCTCCCGGAGGCCAGCTGGTCTTTGGGTCTCTGCCGCACATGCGCGAGGGGCGGGAAGCAGGCACAGGGGCAGGGCGCATACACGGGGGGCAGGGTGTATGCGCGGAGGGTGCTCGCACGGCATTTTGGGGGTTTGCACGCTCGCGGGCCCCCCTCCGCACCTTGTTTTGGGCCTGAAAGGCCTCCTGCACCAACCTGGAAGCCAAAGTGGGCACGTGAGCATTGCCCTCGGTCAGCTCCAGCGTGCATGTGCACACCGGCCAGCTGATTTTGGGGCCTTCTGGGCCCACCGGAAGTCGGGAAATTGTCTGTTTCCAGCCTCCAGAGGGCCTCCAGGGGGGTGGGGAAAGCTGTTTTCGCCCTCCCCAGGCTCCAAAAAAGCCTCTGGAGCCTGGGGAGGACGAAAAAACGGGCCTACCAGGCCCATCGGTAACCTTTTTGCCGCCGAGTGGCAAAAGCGGGGGAAGCACGGGGGTGGGGTCGCGCACACATGCACAAGGGGGCAGGGCGTGGGGGGCATTGAATTATGGATGTGGGCCCACACACGCGTGACTCTCCCCGCTTTTGGCACGCGACGGTGAAAAGGTTAACCATCACTGTCCTAAGGTAAGGTTTCCCTTCTCCTTTTCTCTTTTTCCTTCAGGCTCAAGATGAGAGAAATTATCACATATTTTACTGCATGCTGAAAGGAATGAGCTCGGAGCAGAAAAAAATGCTGGGACTTAAAAAAGCCATGGATTATAACTATCTTTCCATGGTAAGAGGTTAAAAAATAATAATAATAATAATAATAATTTTTTGAATCTCCTTTTTCTGCACAGCCCGTAAGCGAGCCAGGCTGCATCCTTGTCATACACTAAACCCGTGATGGCGAACCTGTGGCACGCGGAGCCATATTGGTGGGCACGCGAGTGTTGCCCTAGCTCAGCTCCAGCGCGCATGTGCGCACCGGCCAACTAATTTTCAGGCCTTCCGGTCCCTCCGGAAGTTGGGAAACTGGCTGTTTTCGGACTCCGGAAGGCCTCCGGGGGAATGGGGAAGGCTGTTTTTGCCCTCCCCAGGCTCCTAGAAACCTCTGGAGCCTAGGGAGGGGGAAAACGGGCCTACCGAGCCCACCATAGTGCCAAAAGCAGGGGGAAGTGTGTGTGTGGGGGGGTCACGTGCGCATGCGCGAGAGGGCGGGGCACATTGAATTATGGATGTGGGCACCCGCACCTGCGACTCCCCACACTCCCCCCACTTTTGGCACGCGAGCGCAAAAAGGTTAGCCATCACTGCACTAAACCATGATCGAAATTATTTGTAGCTCGGGTGGTAGATGTCGATGATGGTTTGTCTTCCTGGCTTGCTGTTTAGCTTCCGAATGTTTCGTCACCAGACTAGGGGACATCCTCAACGGGAGTTTGGCTGAAGTGTCTTGTGTTCAGGTCTTCTCTGCTTTTATTGATCTCAAGTGGTTGGTGGGTCAGGCCATGTGACGTGCCAATCGAAGCTTAGTATTCTATGGATCGATCAATCAACATGTCGATACGAAGTCAGTTTACGAAGCCCTTAAGGATCCATATCCAACCAGCCAACCAACGATGGCACCGACCACCTCTTCGTTTGATGCCCTTCACACGACATCACCAGCCGGTCACGTGACACGTCATATGGCATGACCAGCTGGTCACATGACCCACCGACCACATGACCACATGAGATTGATAAAAGCGGAGAAGAATTGGAACAAGACACTCTGGAAAGAGTGCAGAGAAGAGCTACAAAGATGATTAAGGGACTGGAGGCTAAAATATATGAAGAACGGTTGCAGGAATTGGGCATGTCTAGTTTAATGAAGAGAAGGACTAGGGGAGACAGGATAGCATTGTTCCAACATCTCAGGGGCTGCCCCAAAGAAGAGGGAGTCAAGCTATTCTCCAAAGCACCTGAAGGCAGGACAAGAAGCAATGGACGGAAACTAATCAAGGAGAGAAGCAACTTAGAACTAAGGAGAAATTTCCTGACAGTGAGAACAATTTATCAGTGGAACAACTTGCCTCCAGAAGTTGTGAATGCTCCAACACTGGAAGTTTTTATGAAGATATTGGATAACCATTTGTCTCAAATAGTATAGGGTTTCCTGCCTAAGCAGGGGGTTGGACTAGAAGACCTCCAAGGCCCCTTCCAACTCTGTTATTCTATTCTATTCTATTCTATTCTATTCTATTCTATTCTATTCTATCTATTCTATTCTATTCCATTCCATTCCATTCCATTCCATTCCATTCCATTCCACTCCACTCCACTCCACTCCACTCCACTCCACTCCACTCCACTCCATCCCATTCTATTAATTCTGAATTCTGTTCTATTATCCTATTCTATTTTCTATATTTTTTATTCTGTTCTGTTCTGTTCTGTTCCATTCCGTTCCATTACTTCCATTCCATTCCATTCCATTCCATTCCATTCCATCCCATTCCATTCCATTCCATTCCATTCCATCCCATTCTATTAATTCTGAATTCTATTCTATTATCCTATTCTATTTTCTATATTTTCTATTCTATTCTATTCTATTCTATTCTATTCTATTCTATTCTATTCTATTCTATTCTATTCTATTCTATTCTATTCTATTCTATTCTATTCTATTCCATTCCATTCCATTCCATTCCATTCCATTCCACTCCACTCCACTCCACTCCACTCCACTCCACTCCATCCCATTCTATTAATTCTGAATTCTATTCTATTATCCTATTCTATTTTCTATATTTTCTATATTTTCTATATTTTCTATATTTTCTATATTTTCTATATTTCTATTCTATTCTATTCTATTCTATTCTATTCTATTCTATTCTATTCTATTCTATTCTATTCTATTCTATTCTTTCTATTCCATTCCATTCCATTCCATTCCATTCCATTCCATTCCATTCTTCTTTCTGCTTCTATTCCATTCCATTCCACTCCACTCCATTCTTCAACTGATGTCACCTAGCCAGGTAACAAAAGGTTCGGAAGCTAAACACCAAGCCCGGAGAACAAACCACCATCAACAAACCAAGCCATGACCTGCCTGTGGACCAGAAATGTCAGGTATCAGGCTCACTAATGCTTTGCACGCTCTGTCTTGCACTACCAGGGCAACTGCATTACTTGCGACGGTAGAGACGATAGCAAAGAATACTCCAACATCCGGGCGGCCATGAAAGTCCTGATGTTCACCGACACGGAGAACTGGGAAATCTGCAAACTTCTGGCCTCCATCCTGCATATGGGGAACCTGCGATACGAAGGTAGCATCTCTTTTAACGTGAAGTAATGCAGTAGGAATAGTCTACCTCCCTTTTGTAACATTTCCCCCTTTCCAGTTCGTTGTTGTTACCGATAGAGGAGAATATTGGTAGGTTAAGAGTTGAAATGAAGGGTCTTTGGTGGTCTCCGAATTTGGTTGTTTTCTTTGCAGATGTTTCATTACCCAACTAGATAATATCATCAGTGCTAGAAGGGAAAGAGGTTGTGGAAAGGAGGAGGAGAAGGATCGTGGGGTCCTTGTTGCTCTCTAAGCTTGGTTGTTTTCTTTTTATTGTTAAAAAAACAAACTTTATTAAACTTAAAAAGATAAAATACCATATCGAGTATATACAGAATACATTTATATTAATCCAAACAGCATTACTTGCTCACAACAAAAAATAGAAAACAAAAGAAAAGAAAAGAAAAGAAAAAGAAGAAAAGAAAGAAAAGAAAAAAATAAATAAAGCACAAAAACAAAATGTAGAAAGTGACTTTGTCATTTTATCACATCCTTTATCCTGTTGAAGGTGCCTGTTTGTTAATTTTATTGTCTTACAAGATTTTACATTTACTCTCCTTTCTTTTGAATTATCCAATCGTACCATCTATTCCACGCCGTGTAGTATTTTGAGTCTACCTTATCTTTTAACTCAAATGTTAATTTATCGATTTCCGCACAATTGTAAATTTTGTGGATTATTAGTTGATCTGTTGGCAATTGATCTGTTTTCCAATATTGAGCTAGTGCCAATCTGGCTGCCGTAATTATATGTAATATTAAATATTTTGTTTCTTTCCTATAGTTTTCTTTGATCATGCCTAATAAAAAAATCTGGTTTAAACTCTATTTCCGCTGCTGTTATTTCTGTTAGCCAAGTTTTTATTTTTTCCCAGTATTTCCTAATTTTGGGGCAAAGCCACCAGACATGAAAGAAAGTGCCCTGTGCCTGTTTGCATTTCCAGCAAGTTGGGTTTAAATTCGGTCCTTGTTGCTCTCTAAGCTTGATTGTTTTCTTTGCAGACTTTTCATTACCCAGCTAAGTAACATCATCAGTGCTAGGAGGGAGTGGGATTGGTAGAGAAGGACAAAGGGAGGAGGAGAAGGAGGAGGGAGAAGATTGTGGAGTCCTTGTTGCTCTCTGAGCTTGGTTGTTTCTTGCAGACGTTTCATTACCCAACTAGGTAACATAATCAGGGCTAGAAGTGAGTGGGGTTAATCTGTGCAAACAAGCCTCTTGTATATGAACAGAGAGCAAACCCTCACTCCCACTGCTGCCACCAGTTTCTTTCTGATTCTCTCTCTGCAGCCCGGAACTACGACAATCTCGATGCTTGTGAGGTTGTCCATTCTGCGTCCTTGATAACGGCTGCGTTGTTGCTGGAGGTGAGCTGGATTCTCTCCCTTCTTGCTTCTTCCATTCCATTCCATTTCTAATTCTAATTCTAATTCTAATTCTAATTCTAATTCTAATTCTAATTCTAATTCTAATTCTAATTCTAATTCTATTCTATTCTATTCTATTCTATTCTATTCTATTCCATTCCATTCCATTCCATTCCATTCTAATTCCATTCTAATTCTAATTCTAATTCTAATTCTAATTCTAATTCTATTCTATTCTATTCTATTCTATTCTATTCTATTCCATTCCATTCTAATTCTATTCTATTCTATTCTATTCTATTCTATTCTATTCTATTCTATTCTATTCTAATTCTAATTCTAATTCTAATTCTAATTCTATTCTATTCTATTCTATTCTATTCTATTCTATTCTATTCTATTCCATTCCATTCCATTCCATTCCATTCCAATTCTATTCTAATTCTAATTCTAATTCTAATTCTAATTCTATTCTATTCTATTCTATTCTATTCAATTCTATTCTATTCTATTCTATTCTATTCTATTCTAATCCGTGTGACTTTTTCCCTTTCATGCTTTCAAGGTTGAGCCTCTGGATCTGATGAACTGTCTCACTAGCCGGACGATCATAACCAGAGGAGAGACCGTTTCCACACCTCTCAGCATGGAGCAGGCCATAGATGTCAGAGATGCCTTCGTGAAGGTGAATTTTGTATTGTCCTCTGCTCTGTTCCTCCATTTTATTTGTTGCCCTCTTGAGGAAGAACTACATGTCCCAAGATTCTGAGAGAGAGAGAGAGAGAGAGAGAGAGAGAGAGAGAGAGAGAGAGAGAGAGAGAGAGAGAGAGAGAGAGAGAGAGAGAGAGAGAGAGGAAGGACCAGATCTTAACGATTGGAAACCTTTTCTGGGCTCTTTGCCTGGAAGTGAATTTATGATGTATGGTTTTTAAGGACTAGAAAAAAATAATAGATTATAGAAAAAAGATGAAAATAATGTTGTAACCGTAGAGCAAGAAGTCCATTTACTTTTATACTTGTAAATCCTGTGAAAGAAAATCAGGTTATTTCTTAATACTTTCCTGCACTTTTGTCTTTGTCTTTCTTTTCCCTTCCCTTCTCATTTTCCTTCTCATTCCTTTCCTCCTTTCTCTCCCTTTCTTTTTCTTCCTTCTTCTCCTTCTCCTCCCGCCCCGCCCCGCCCCATCCCGTCCCGTCCCCTCTCATTTCCTTTCTCTTTCCCTTTTTTCCTCTCCTTTTTCCTTTTCTCCTTTCCTTTCCCTTTTCCCCTTTTTTCCCCTTTTCCCTTTTTCCCTTTTTCCCTTTTCCCCTTTTTCCCTTTTTCCCTTTTCCCTTCCCTTCCCTTCAAACAAGATTATAAGCATTTATTTATTTATTTATTTAATTAATTAATTAGATTTTTATACCATCCTTCTCCTTTTAAGGCCTCCTAGAAACCATATTGAGCTATACCCCACCCCTCCTGCCAAACAAGGGACAAGAAAAAAGAAAAAAATGGAAAAAATGGGGAGAGAAAATATTTTTCTACCCCAGAGGGCAGTTCCAAAGAGCCCTGACTGAAACCCACTGTTTCTCAAACGTGACAACTTCAAGATAGGTGGACTTCAACACCCAGAATTCATGCAGGCTGGGGAATTCTGGGAGTTGAAGTCCACTCATCCTACAGCAGCCGAGTTGGAGAAACATTGAGCTAGAACCAGAGAGGAACAGATAAGGAGGAACAGCTCTCAGGGGAGGCCGAAATAAAATTTAATCACTTGTCTTTCCCTTTTTTTTTTGAATTTCCAGGGCATTTACGGCAGGCTTTTCGTGTGGATTGTGGACAAGATCAATGCGGCCATTTACCGACCGCCTTCCCACGAGAACAAAAATGTCCGGAGATCCATCGGATTATTGGATATCTTCGGATTTGAGAACTTCACAGTAAACAGGTTGTAGGATCTAGGAAACGGCGTTAAGACGTTTCTTCAAAGGCAGGTGGGATGGGGAGGGATCCATTCATCCCTTCAGACCGGGAGTCAAAAAAACTCCCAAGATGGGAAAAAACTTTGGATATTCAATTGATTTGGGAAAATGGCAACAACTAGGGGAAAGGAATTATAAATTAACGATGTCCACTGCATATAAGGAGAACCAATATAAAATGTTTTATAGATGGCATATGCCACCTGAGAAATTAGCAAAAATGTTTAAAGAAAAATCAGCTAAATGTTGGAAGTGTCATCAACTACCAGGATCATAAAATCGTATGTGGTGGACATGTCCGGAAGCTAAAAGCTATTGGAGTAAAATTAAGATTTGGCTGGAGGAAATGATACAGCAACGTATTAAATTTAAACCAGAGCTGTTCCTATTGGGTATCCTCCCTGAAAAAATTAGCAAGGAAAATGTTTATTTGATAATACATATAATAACAGCTGCAAGGATTGTTTATGCACAAAATTGGAAAGCAGAGAAAATACCTTTAGAAGAAGAAGTAATAAAAAATTTTTTAGATTGTGCAGAAATGAATAGATTAACTCTGATGATTAAGGATAGAGAAGACTCAGAATATTTTAAAATATGGAATTGTTTTCATTATTGGTTGGAGAGATATAAATGATTAATTATATAAGTATGTATAAATATGTGATGAGTAGAATATTATGTTAATGATGAATTGATTCTATGGATTGGACAAGGATCAAGATAGAAGAAATAACTCATATACAGAAAAATGAGTGTGACTCCTTCTTGGAACTGCTGAAAGGACTATATTGTAGACTGGAGATAGGTGATGTCATATCCCTCCCCCTCTGTTGAGAGAAGGTTGTTTAATTTTGACCTACATGGCCTCTTTGACCCCTCTTTCAAACCAACGGTCCTCTCCATCCAAAATATGGACTTTGTTGTCTTCAAACGAGTGCCTTGTGTCTTATAAATGCAGATAGACTGCTGAATCTAGTCCTGATGTGTTTGTTCTCCTATGCTGTGCCACGCGTTTGTGAAGTGGCTGTTTTGTTTCCCCCAATGTACAGATCTGCAGATGTCTCACTGCTTTGTACTGCATAGACCACGTTGCTCCGTTTCTGTCTGGGTGTTTTATCCTTGGGGTGGACAAACTTGATCCTTAGTGTCTTCTTGAAGTGTGCACGTATGTTGTGTTGGCTGAAGATCCTCCTGAGCTTTTCCGATATGCCTGCAACGTACGGAATGACAACGTTGCTTCGTTTATTGTTCTCGTCATTGTCTGTGACAGAGGAGCTCCTGTAGGGTCTTTTTTGGAGATTTGATGAAGGCCCACTTGGGATAGCCATATATTCTAAGAGCTTCCTTGATGTGTTTTAGTTCTTTTTCTTTCTCATCTTTGCTGGTAGGCAGGTCTTCAGCTCGTTTTGATTCCCACCACCCACTGGAGCACAAAATGGAAGTCAGCGGTGGGTTTCACATTTTGTTACTACCAGTTCGCCCCACCCGCGCGTCTTCCCTGCATGCGCCTGGCCTCAAAAATGTGCCTAAATAGGGCGGCATAGAGCCGGGGAGGGTAAGCGGGATACCGATTCGCCCGAACCGGTCTGAACCAGCCCGAACCGGCTGAATACCACCTCTGATGGGAGTCATCAGAACCTGAAAGCCTGCCTACAAGCAAAGATGGGAAAGAAAAAGAACCAGCTGAGCGACTTTGCGCCAGTCCGTCTCTCTCTCTCTCTCTCTCTCAGCCCAACTCACCTCACAGGGTTGTTGTTATGTGGAAAATAGAAAGAGGAAGGAGTAGTATTAGGTATATTTGCTGTCCCCCCCGAGTTATTTTTTTAAAAATAATACAAGCGGTATAAAAAAATTGAACTAATTGAATTGAATTAAAAATTAAACAATTTTTAAACAATTTTAATATTTTAATATTTTTAATATCTTTTAATTTTCAAAGTTTAAATCTGTTTTAACTTGATTGGGGTTTTCATCTGTCTGGGCCAAATTATTTAATTCGATTTTATTTCTGTTTTTAAAATTTTGTATGTATGTATTTTATTGTTGGCTGTTCACCGCCCTGAGTCCTTCGGGAGAAGGGCGGTATACAAATTAAATAAAAGTAAAGTAAAGTAAAGTAAGTAAAGAACGAATGAATCTGTATTATTCGCTCTCCAGTTTCGAGCAGCTCTGCATTAATTTCGCCAACGAGAACCTGCAACAGTTCTTCGTCCGTCACGTCTTCAAACTAGAGCAGGAAGAATACAACCTGGAAAACATCAACTGGCAGCACATAGAATTCACGGACAATCAAGACGCTCTGGATATGATCGCCATCAAACCGATGAATTTAATCTCCCTCATTGATGAGGAAAGCAAATTCCCCAAGGTTTGGCCAAATTGCAGCGAGACTTAAGTCTCCTCTCTCCTCCCCCCCTTAAGTCCTCCCTCCCTTTGTTGTGGCCCGCCAGCAGCCAGCGGATTCGGACAGTGAGGAGGTTGGGGAAGAACATGGGCCAGTCCTGGAGTCTAGGGAAGGCTCGGACGAGGGCTCTGCGTCGGAGGCAGAGAGTGGGCCAGGGCCGTCTGACAGTTATCAGCTGCCTTCGGAGTCGGACGTCAGTGAGGCAGACGAACAGCTGGGGCCTGTTCCCAGGGGGCGCATACGCAGCATTGCCACACGAAGGGAACAGCTAAAGAACAAGGGTCGACTTGGGAGTAAGGCCACAGGTGGATGATGAATGGTCCCTCCCAGAGGGAATAAAAGAGGAGCGAAAGGGGAGTGCAGTTTTCAGGAGACAATTCGTTCATTCTTGCATTCTTGCCAAGTATTGCGGGGTCTGAAAGATATCGGCCTGGCCATTCTCCAAGGCTGATAAAAGTCGGTAATTGTGAACTATCTTTGGATAGCTGGATTTCACCACTGCCCCAGCCCAAGAGTTTGACACTCCTGTGTTAGATGTTTCCACTGCAGATCAGTTATATCCGAGTTGCAAAGGAAGGCTGCTTTTGGATGATAGAAACCTTAATTCCAGGGGTGGGCTGCTGAGGGTTCGTGAGAACCTCTAGCTAAGATTCTGTGCAGTTCGGAGAACCCCCAAATCCCACTCCTGGCTGGCCCCGCCAACCCCTCCCCTTCCAGAAGTCCCCATGTGACCCGTTTTGGATGCAGATAAGTGCAGGGTGCATACGGAGGCTCGGGGAGGGTGAAAAATGGGCCTACCGGAAGTTTGGGAAGGCCGGAAATGGGCCTGTTTCTGGCCTCCAGAGGGCCTCCGGAGCCTGGGGAGGCTGTTTTTGCCCTCCCGGAGGCTCAAGGAAAGCCTCCGGAGCCCGGGGAGGGCAAAAACTCACACACACCCCGCCGTGGTGCAGGAGGCCGACCAGGCCACACCCACCCAGCAACCGGGCAGAGACCCCCTTGCTAAAATTTTTGAAGCCCACCCCTGCCTAATTCCCGTTTTTACCTGATGCAGGGAACGGATGCCACCATGCTTCACAAGCTGAATTCTCAGCACAAGCTGAACATCAATTACATCCCCCCGAAAAACAACCACGACACTCATTTTGGCATCAACCATTTTGCCGGCGTTGTCTACTATGAAACAAAAGGTACGTTTTTGGGGTTTGGGGCAGAGGCTCCATTGGAGCAGGGCTCAAAGATTTTAAGTCCTCGAGTTAGAAACGGCCTGTCTAATACCGTTAGTCCTTAATGTACGACCACAATGTGGACTGGAACTTCGGCCCCTGAGCAATGTGGTCGTTAAGCGAGTCCATGCCTGACATTGCAACTTTTTTTTTGCAGAGTAACCCTTGAATAGCAAGGGTGTGCACATGAAAGCGATTGAGAGTAGGTATGAATAAACACAGTCAACACACAGATACACTGAGCTGTGTTTACTTTTAGGAAATAGTAAGGCACAGTCCAATAAACAGTCCAGGTCATACACATATAAAGCAGGAGATACCCAAAACGACAGTCCAGGGATAATCCAATAACAAGGTCTTCTTACCAGTTGTCGTAGTCATTCACAATAAACAGTTCTTCCGGATTTGCAAACAGTAGCATGCAGAGATATCAGAGAGCAAGAACAGCAAAGAGAAACAAACCATGTTTCTAGCTCCCTCTTAAGGACATTGGCTACAGAGCTAACCAATCAGGACACAGCATGATGCAATACAGCAGTCTTAAAGCTATATTAACCCAACAAGGTAGGTAATACTCATTTCCTAACAACCTGTATAAAAAATTACATTTCTTTCAACTGCTGCTGGTTTCTCTCATCAGGGTTTCTGGAGAAAAACAGAGACACTCTTCATGGGGATATTATCCAGTTGGTCCATTCCTCAAGAAACAAATTCATCAAGCAGATTTTCCAGGCTGACGTAGCCATGGTAAAGTATCTCTAACAGGCACGGTGGTGGGTGGAAGCGATGGTGAAGTGGAGAATCAATCTTATCTTCAGATAAATCCCTTGTAATTCATGGAACTTGGTGACTGCTAATTTAAGCCTCCGGTATCTTGTTGGATCTAGTCCAGGGGTGTCAAATTTCGATTTCATTGAGGGCCGCATCAGGATTGTGTTTGACCTTGGGGGTGGGGTGGTGGTGGTGGGAGTGGTCAGGGGGGCGTGGCCAGCTCGACGTCACTCATGTTGGGGGGGTACTTGTGGTGGCCAAGTGCTAAGGCAGGATTTCCCTCAGACCCTCCCTCACTCTCATTATAATCTCTCTCCTTCCTTCCTTCCTTCCTTCCTTCCTTCCTTCCTTCCTTCCTTCCTTCCTTCCTTCTTCCCTCCCTCCCTCCTTCTTCCCCCATTCTCCTTCCTTCCTTCCCTCCCTCCTTCTTCCCCATTCCCCTTCCTTCCTTCCTTCCTTCCTTCCTTCCTTCCTTCCTTCCTTCCTTCCTTCCTTCCTTCCTTCCTCCATTTCCAACACTGGAAATTTTTAAGAATATATTGGATAAGCATTTGTCTGAAGTTGTGTAGGGTTTCCTGCCTAAGCAGGGGGTTGGACTAGAAGACCTCCAAGGTCCTTTCCAACTATTCTATTCTATTCTATTCTATTCTATTCTATTCTATTCTATTCTATTCTTATCTATTCTATTCTATTCTATTCTATTCTATTCTATTATTCTATTCTATTCTATTCTATTCTTTCCTTCCTTCCTTCCTTCCTTCCTCCTTCCTTCCGTCCTTCCTTCCTTCCCTCCCTCTCCTTCCCTTCCTTCCTTCCTTCCTTCCCTCCTTCCTTCCTTCCTTCCTTCCTTCCTTCCTCTCCTCTCTCCTTCTTCCCTCCTCCTTCTCTCCTCCTTCCTTCCTTCCTTCCTTCCTCCTCCTTTTCTTCCTTCCTCCTTCTCCCTCCTTCTTCCCCCATTCTCCTTCCTTCCTTCCCTCCCTCCTTCCTCCCCATTCTCCTTCCTTCCTTCCTTCCTTCCTTCCTTCCTTCCTTCCTTCCTTCCTTCCTCTCCTTCCTTCCTTCCTTCCTTCCTTCCTTCCTTCCTTCCTTCCTTCTTCCCTCCCTCCCTCCTTCTTCCCCATTCTCTCTCCTTCCTTCCTTCCTTTTCTTCCTTCCTTCCTTCCTTCCTTCCTTCTTCCCTCCCTCCCTCCTTCTTCCCCCATTCTCCTTCCTTCCTTCCCTCCCTCCTTCTTCCCCATTCTCCTTCCTTCCTTCCTTCCTTCCTTCCTTCCTTCCTTCCTTCCTTCCTCCATTCCTCCATTTCCAACACTGGAAATTTTAAAGAAAATATTGGATAACCATTTATCTGAAGTGGTTGGATTAGAAGACCTCCAAGATTAAATACACATACTTAGCCAGTTAGCAGTACAGCTAGGAAATGGCGCCCTTGACATATTCAGTAACATATTCAGGCACAAGAATAGAACCAGGTTTTTAGGCAGTGGTGAAATCCAAATTTTTTTTACTACCGGTTCTGTGGGTGTGGCTTGGTGGGAGTGGCAGGGGAAGGATACTGCAAAATCTCCATTCCCACCCCACTCTGGGGCCAGCCAGAGGTGATATTTGCCGGTTCTCTCAACTGCTCAAAATTTCTGCTACTGGTTCTCCAGAACCTGTCAGAACCTGATGGATTTCACCCCTGTTTTTTGTTTTTTGTTTTTAATTTGATTTATATGCCGCCCTTCTCCGAAGACTCAGGGCGGCTTACAATGTGCTCAGCAATAGCCTTCATCCTTTTGTATATATTTATACAAAGTCAGCTTATTGCCCCCACAAACTGGGTCCTCATTTCACCTACCTTAGAAAGGATGGAAGGCTGAGTCAACCTTGAGCCTGGCGAGATTCGAACTTGCAATAATTGCAGGCAGCTGGTCTTAATAAGCTTAATAACAGGGTGCCTTAAACCCCTGTACTACCAAGGCTCTCTCTTTTAGGGCATTATGAAAGGCTAACAGGGTTAGGGCCCTCTAATCTCTGAAGGGAGGGGGCTGTTTCATAGAGCAGGGGCCACCGCAGAAAAGGCCCATCTTCCAGTCCCTGCCATCTGACACTGGATTATGGGAACTACACAAATACAGGTACCGAGATCACTATTCCACAATTTGGAATCAAAACTATCCTGTTTTAGAAAACTTCTTTGTAGCTGATCTTAGCTTGCTATCCAACAAGAATAGCTAGGATGTGCTGGGATGAGAGACCAGTAGGAAAAAACAAACAAACCAGGAATGCTGGATTAGATTGGGAAGTCAAAAACAAGATCCTGGTGGCGCAGCAGACTAAAGCACTGTTATTAACATCAGCTGCCTGCAATTACTGCAAGTTCGAATCTCTCCAGGCTCAAGGTTGACTCAGCCTTCCATCCTTTCTAAGGTAGGTAAATTGAGGACCCAGTTTGTGGGGGGCAATAAGCTGACTTTGTATTAAAATATACAAAAGTATGAAGGCTATTGCTTAACGCATTGAGTCTTAGCTGCCCTGAGTCTCCGGAGAAGGGCGGCATATAAATCAAATTAAAAAAAAAAAAAAAAAGGCAGTGAAATTTTTATTTTATTTTATTTTTGTCCTGCATTGGATGTTGGATTTTATTTTATTTTTGATTTGATGTATATGCCGCCCTTCTCCGGAGACTCAGGGCGGCTTACAATGCGTTAAGCAATAGCCTTCATCCTTTTGTATATTTATACAAAGTCAGCTTATTGCCCCCACAATCTGGGTCCTCATTTCACCTACTTAGAAAGGATGGAAGGCTGAGTCAACCTTGAGCCTTGGAGAGATTCGAACCTGCAGTAATTGCAGGCAGCTGATGTTAATAACAGTGCTTTAGTCTGCTGCGCTACCAGGGCTCCTTTGATGGATTTGATGGATTTGATGGATTGACAGTGAAGGAATAATGCTGTTAAATTCTACACAAATTGCCAACGTTGCCCTTCAAAGCCATCTTTGAATTCCATACTTTTAGCTGGTGGGATGGGTGTCCCATAGGATGGGAGCCAGGATGGAGAAGGATGGGACTTCCATTAGATCAGCGGTCACCAACTGGTGGTCCGTGAGAAAATGTTGGTGGTCTGCAGAAAAATCATTTGCATTTTTTTATATTGCACTTAATCAGGGGTCCTCAAACTACGGCCTCTGGGACGGATACGTGCAATGAACAGTTGTGTTGCTGCAGAGAGTCTCCCCATTTGGGGTCTTTTTGTGCGGGTCGGACGGGGGGCAGAAATTCCCATTTGGGGTCTGCTTTGGCCTCCTGGTGGGGGGCTTTGGGCGAAGGCTGGAGGAAACGCCGCTGGTGGCAAAGAGCCGGAGGGCTTTGTTGCAATGGGACTGCATCGTGGCCTGGAACTGGCTGACCATCTCAGCCCGCTGAGCCTCCAGGCGCCGGTACCTGGCCTTGCACTCCTGTGTTGTGGCTCCGTTACCTGAGCCTGTGTCATCGGCAGGAGAGGACTCCGAGAGTGAAGGAGAGGAGTTGGCAAGGCCTCCTTCTCCAGGACCCTCCTCTCTGGCAATGCCTTCGGTGTCCACCGAAGGGCAAGAGATAGGGCCGGGGCCAAGCACGTCCACGCAGCCACAGATGGACAGTGATGAGGATAATGAGTCTTGGCTGGATCCACGCCAGCGTCGCAGAGATAAGTGCGCGCAACAGAAGAAAAGGCGTGCCAGAGATTAGGCTGAGTCACTGGACCACACCCCACAGGATATAAAAGGGAGCGTGGTGGCCAGTCAAACCTTGTGACGAACAAAGCTGAAAGCTTCCACGCCATTCCGCATTGCCGGACTTTTTGCTATAGACTTTGCTGGATTATCTCTGGACTTGATTAACTCTGTAATTATTGAGCATTTTACTTTGATGTACCAGAAGCGGAGAGAAGTTATCTCTTTCCTTTGTAGTAATAAACTCTTGGCAGGCAGCCACTAGGTTGTTGCCAAGTTCCATTATCATAAGGAAAAGGATTTTGTTGGCTGGTTTGGTCTTTAACTCTTAGACGTCTGTTGGTGTGTGTGTGTGTGCGTGTGGGACGGGGACAGAACATCCTGCCGGTCTTCCCTCTGCTTGGAAAGCCTATGCTCCTAGTCCTCAGTGAGGTGCTTCTGCTGAGCCTCCTTCTCGGCCAGATCCAATCTGAACTGAGCCAGCTGTTTTGCCAACTCTTTCTCCTGGTGGCTGCTTAGCTCCAACAACTGCTTCCTGTTGGGGTCCTAAGGAACCCAGGCGGGCAGGCGAGGAGTGGCTGGCAGGAGAAGGGTGAGGGGTTTTTTTGCCAGAAGGGAAACTCCATAAATTGAAACGATCACCAAAAGAGATAAGTTCTCCACAGAAGCTTCACTTTCTGCCTCCTTTTCTATTTAAGTGGCTCCTTCTTTCATCGGCGGTGAGAAATCCCGATTCTTCCTGCTCACTTTTTAATTTTCTCCTCTATTCTCTCTCTCTCTTGTGTTTTTCTTGGTGGTTTCATTTTCCCTTTCTTCTCCTCTGTAGTTTCTCTGTGGCTGTCCGTCTTCTACATTTGCCCAGTCGCCAGCCTCCACTTTGAAGGTAAAATCAGTTCTGCAAATCTTCCCTGGGGTGGTGGTTTGGCTTTGCCCATTTTTTTTCCGGTTCTTCTCGAGGAAAGAACCGATGGTGTTATTTAGTTGGGTAAGGAAACGTCTGCGAGAAAACAACGCAGCTCAGAGAGCACCAAGGATGCCACATGCCTCCTCCTCCTCCTCTCCACAAACCCCCCCTCCCTTCTAGCACTGACAATGTTACCTAGTTGGGTAATGAAAGGTCTGCAAGAAAACAGCTAAGTTCAGAAAGCACCAAGGACCCCACGGTCCTCCTTATCCTCTTCCTCCTCCTCTTCCTCCTCCTCCTCCTCCTCCTCCTCCTCTTTGCAAGCACCTTCTCCTTCTAGCACTGATGATGGTACCTAGTTGGGTAATGAGACATCTGGAAGAAAACAAACAAGTTCAGAGATCACCTAGGACCCCACAATCCTCCTCCTCCTCCTCCTCCTCCTCCTCCCTCCTCCTCCTCCTCCTCCTCCTCCTCCTCCTCCTCCTTTTTGCAAGCACCTTCCCCTTGTACCACTGATGATGGTACCTAGTTGGGCCATGAAACGCCTGCAAGAAAACCCATCTCAAAGAGCACTAAGGACCTCACAGCTCCTCCTCCTCCTCCTCCTCCTCCTCCTCCTCCTCCTCCTCCTCCTCCTCCTCCTCCTCCTCCTCCCTCCTCCTCCTCCTCCTCCTCTTTGCAAGCACCTTCCCCTTCTGCACTGATGATGGTACCTAATTGGGTAATGAGACATCTGGAAGAAAACAAACAAGTTCAGAGGTCACCTAGGACCCCACAATCCTCTTCCTCCTCCTCCTCCTCCTCCTCTTTGCAAGCACCTTCCCCTTCTAGCACTGATGATGGTACCTAATTGGGTAATGAGACATCTGGAAGAAAATAACCAAGTTCAGAGAGCTCTAAGGACCCCACAGTCTTCCTCCTCCTCCTCCTTTTTGCAAGCACCTTCCCCTTGTACCACTGATGATGGTATCTAGTTGGGCCATGAAACGCCTGCAAGAAAACCCATCTCAATGAGCACTAAGGACCTCACAGCTCCTCCTCCTTCTCCTCCTCCTCCTCTTTGCAAGCACCTTCCCCTTCTAGCACTGATGATGGTACCTAGCTGGGTAATGAGACATCTGGAAGAAAATAACCAAGTTCAGAGAGCTCTAAGGACCCCACAGTCTTCCTCTTCCTCCTCCTCCTCTTCCTCCTCCTCCTCCTTGCAAGCACCTTCCCCTTCTAGCACTGATGATGGTACCTAGTTGGGTCATGAAACGCCTGCAAGAAAACCCATCTCAAAGAGCACTAAGGACCTCACAGCTCCTCCTCCTCCTCCCACGGATGATGTGACCTATTCGGGTAACCCAAATGTCTGCCAGAAAACAACCAAGCTCTAAGACCGTGATGGTAAGCCTATGGCACATGTGCCACAGGTGGCACGCGGAGCCATATCACCTGGCAGGCCAGCTCAGCTCTCAGCCTCTCTAGGAGTCTCTGGAGGCTGGGGACAGCAAAAAAATCACTTCCTGTCCAACCGAAACATGGAAAACGGGCCGTTTTGGGCCTCTGGAGGGCCTCCGAGGGATGGGGAAGGCTGTTTTCGCCCTCCCCAGATGCATAGAGAGGATCTGGAGCCAGGTGAGAAAGAAAAACGGGCCTACTGGGCCATCACGTGCCAGGAGCAAGTAGAGGGGGGGTCGCGTGCACAGCGGCGGGGCGGGGCACATAGAATTATGGGTGTGGGCATGCGTGCACACGAACCTCCCCCGCCTTCTCCTTCCTGGCACGTGATGGCAAAAAGGTTAGCCATCACTGCTCTAAGACTACCAAGCGCCAAAAAACCACATGGTTTTTTTCTCTCCCATCCTTAAAAGGCCCACTTAAATAGTCAAAGTTTCAGAAATATCTTTGGCAACCTCCAGGTAAACTAAATTAAATTAAAATAAAGAGCCACAGAATAAGTTGGGGTTTTTTTTTTTCCCCTTCTTCCTTCGGCTGGCAAGCATTGCAGCCACCCTGGGAAAAAACGGGACCCCAAGCAGGGCTGGAGAAATTTCCTGTGTTGGGAACACTTCTGGGCCTCCCCCCCCCCCCGGCTGGGCTGGCCGAGGGGGGAAATGTTCAGCCGCTGCTGGTGTTATCTTTTCATTTCCTGACATTGATCCGTGCCCGATCCTGCTCTTTCTCCAGGGGGCAGAGACCAGGAAACGGTCCCCGACGCTCAGCAGCCAGTTCAAGCGCTCGCTGGAGCTCCTGATGCGGACGCTGGGGGTCTGCCAGCCCTTCTTCGTCCGGTGCATCAAGCCCAACGAGTACAAGAGGCCCATGGTGAGTGGGGAGAGGTGTGGGGGGGGGACGGAGCCAGCTCAGAGGGGTCTTCTGGGAAGAGGGTCCGAATGAGGGATGAGGGGTGAGCCGAGGTTGGTTGGGGATCATGGATCTGTTCCTGGCGGCGAGTCCTCTTGACAGCTGTACTCAGATGTTACGTGTTTGATTTTCTGTGTTTTGGGTTTTCCCCCCCCCTTCCTTTTCTCCTTTCTCCTTTCCTTTTCCCCCTTCTCCCTTCTCCCTCTCCCTTTTCCCTCTCCCTTCCCTTCATTTCATTCTTTCTTTTGCCCTCTCTCTTTCCTCTCCTCTCCTCCCTTTTCCCCTTCCCCCTTTTCCTTTCCTTTTCTTTCCCCCTCCCTCCCTTCCTTTCCTTTCCTTTCCTTTCCTTTCCCCCCCCTCCTTCCTTTCGTTTACTCTCACTCCCTTTCCTTTCCCCTTTCCCCTTTCCCCTTTTCCTTTCCTTTCCCCCTCCCTCCCTTCCTTTCCTTTCCTTTCCTTTCCTTTCCCCCTCCTTCCTTTCGTTTACTCTCACTCCCTTTCCTTTCCCCTTTCCCTTTTTTCCTTTCCTTTCCTTTCCCCCTCCCTCTCTTCCTTTCATTTACTCTCACTCCCTTTCCTTTCCTTTCCTTTCAATTCCCCCTCCTTCCTTTCGTTTACTCTCATTTCCTTTCCTTTCCCCTTTTCCTTTCCTTTCCTTTCCCCCGCCCTCCCTTCCTTTCATTTACTCTCACACCCTTTCCTTTCCTTTCCTTTCCTTTCCCCACTCTCCTCTTTCTTCTATCCTTTTTTCCCTTCCTCTTTTCTCTTTCTTTTTCCTTCCCGTCCATCCTTCCATCCTCTCTGTTTTCCTTCCTTCCATTATCCCCTCCCTTCTTTCTTCCCTCCCTCTCTTTTCTGTAAAACAGCCAATGAGATCCATTCCGCGTATTTATTTATTTATTTATTTATTGCACTTACTAATCAATCAAATTTACCTAGCCACCATCTCACCCAAAGCAACTTTGGGCAACACACTTCTCCCAAACTTTAGAAGAGACTGGAGAATTGGGAGTCTGTTATTCGGAACTCATAAGAGAGATTTAGCGATGGTGTATTGAGATAAATTTTGTGTGTGTTTTCCTGGGAGGGGGGAAATGTTCCTCCTTAGGAGCAGAATATCTTTTAGCAAGCATCTAAAGGATGAGCTGCAAAAATTCAAATGACCAAAGAGGGCAGCAAAGAGAGATAGTTTTCTCTCTCTCTCTCTTTACTGCCATCTAGTGGTTGCCTGTAGATATGCAGCCTAGATTTGAAATTTGTCAACAGGTGATTTCTTTATTATCTACTGCAGAGGTGGGGAGCTGTGTGGAGCCCCTTACCACTTGTGGACTTCAACTCTCAGGAATTCTGGGAGTTGAAGTCCACATCATAAAAGGGCTGTCATTCCCCTTCCCAATTGCTTCTAAATTGCCTTCTAAAATAGCTTTTTAAATTGTCAATGGGTTTTAGTTTGAATGTTTTAAATTCTGGGCCAAAGTCATGTAATTCTTTTAAAAATTTTAAATTTTGTATTGGTATGTGTTTTAGTTCTGGCTGTGCACCGCCCTGAGTCCACTAGGAGAAGGGCGATATACCAATTGAATAAAATAAATAAAATAAATAAATAAATAAATTGCACCTCTGGATTAAGCCCACCAATTTCCCCCACCTACTGGTACTTCTATGTTGGATTGCAACATCCATAATTTCCATCCTGCAGGGCGTTTGACCGTGAAATAAGAAATTGGCCGGGTCAGTAAAAACTAAAGCCAAAACAATACTTTGGAAATGATGAAACTTCTGTGAGCAAGTGCTAAGAAGGGCAGGAAGCAGAGTTTCAGGAAACCAAAATAAAGAGTGGAAAATATCTGTTTCTCACAGAATGACATTGCACGGAAGGGATGCAGCAGTGGCCAAAATTGTGGGAACCTTTTGGGAAAAGTGTATTTTTGAGGTTTGATGGCTAAGAACACCACTTTTTTTCTGGAGTTTCAAGATCATCCTATTCCACTGCTGGAAAGGCCTGGGAATAGCCCAGACCTTAACCGAATGGAAAATCTATGGAGCTGACTAAAGAAACTTGTTAGTCAGAAGCGACACAGCAATAAAACCCAGTTAATAGAAGCTATTATTCCATCTTGGTTTCCCATTGGAACAGCTGCAGAACTCAAAGATTTGGTTCACTCCATGGGAAGACGTTGTAAGGCCATCATTTATGCTAAAGGTTACCCAACTAAGGATTAACTGACATGGGGATAATTTTTCCATATCTCATTTTTTCTATGGTGATCATTTTTGTATATCTCGTTTTTTCTAAGTGTTTCACTTTTCTTCTTTATACGATAACTGCTATTCCAAAAGCAAATCCTTCATCAAAGTTATTGCATTACATTCTTGATTAAATTATCTTTCCATTGATATATAATTTTAAGTACTACTCTGTGGTAATTATAGCCAATAAGAAATAAGGTGAATAAAAGAAATAATCATACCAAGTCAGATAACATAAAGTCAGATCAAATCTATGAACTCTGAATAAACTTTGAGTGAACCTCTCTATTCACATTAAGTATACATGCTGGTTAAAGGCAGCTGAATTTCATTATTGGTAAATATATCTTCTAAAAAGTGGTGTTATTAGCTAGTTTTAGAAAATACACTTTTCCCAAAAGATTTCCACAATTTTGGCCATTACTGTATATCGCTCTGTGTTAATACAAAGGAAACAGAGGTTGTTTATTATTATTATTATTATTATTATTATTATTATTATTATTATTATTATTATTATTATTATTATTATTATTTAGGTGCCTGTGTATTTTTTTTCCTGAAAGTGAATCTTCTCGGTACATATTGCTTTTGGTACAAGTGCAGTGGGGAAAGTTATTTTAAAAGGAATTATTGGAGGCAGTGGTGAAATCCAAATTTTTTTACTACTGGTTTTGTGGGCGAGGCTTGGTGGGCATGGCTTGGTGGGCGTGGCAGGAAAAAGATACTGCAAAATCTCCATTCCCACTCCACTCCAGGGAAAGGATACTGCAAAATCCCCATTCCCTCCCCACTCCTGGGGCCAGCCAGAGGTGGTATTTGCCGGTTCTCCAGAACCTGTCCGAACCTGCCTGATTTCACCCCTGATTGGAGGCAGTGAATGGAGCCAAAAAGATATTTTATTTATTTATTTATTTACTTATTATTGAATTTCTATACCGCCCTTCTCCCTGAGGACTCAGGGCGGTGTACAGCCAAAATTAAAAAACATGCAGGACAAATATTAAAAAATAATTAAAAGATATATAAATTTGGCCCAATTAAAACTCATTACCAATTAAAGTAGAATTGGCCTTGTGAATTAATTTGACTGTCTGAGGATTTCTGGGAGCTGAAGTCCACAAGTCTTAAATTTTAGAGATCCCTGTTTTAGTTCCTTCATTCCCTTAAGTTGAAATTGTTCTATGTGGCCATCACTCTTGGGCCAACAAGAGGTTTTAATCTTTGTAAACTACATTTTCGTCAGATCACTTGGGAGAATCGGGGGCTAATTTTATCAGGACTTCTTCAAGGGTTGTGTGAGTTTAGCCTAAAGAAGAGAAGGATGGGAGAGACACCCCATAATAGTCTTCTCCAAGCTTAAAGGCTATCCCAGAGAAGACGGGGTGGATTGATTCCCCGTGATGCCGGAGGTAGGGCGAGAATGTACAAGGGGAAGAAGGAGATCCAAATTCAAAATAAGGAGGAATTTCCTGACCGTGAGATCTATTGATCAGCGGAACAGCCTGCCACCTGAAGTTGTGGGTGCTCCATCCTTGGAGGTAGTCCAGCCAAAATTGGATATCTGGGGTCTCAGATTCCTGCCTTGGGGAGTGGGGGTTGGATTAGATTGGTGTTTGTCAAGCTTGACAGCTTTAAGCTCTGAGGAATTCCCCAGCCAGCATGTATAAACTACAACTCCCAGAATTCCCTGATGTTTCTCAACCTTGGCATCTTTCAGTTCTGAGGACTTCAATTCCCAGAATTCCTCAGATAACATATATAAACTACAACTCCCAGAATTCTCTGACGTTTCTCAACCGTGGCATCTTTCAGTTCTGAGGACTTCAATTCCCAGAATTCCCCAGATAACATATATAAACTACAACTCCCAGAATTCCCTGATGTTTCTCAACCTTGGCATCTTTCAGTTCTGAGGACTTCAACTCCCAGAATTCCCCCGATAGCATATATATAAACTACAACTCCCAGAATTCCCTGATGTTTCTCAACCTTGGCATCTTTCAGTTCTGAGGACTTCAACTCCCCCAGAATTCCCCAGATAACACATATAAACTACAACTCCCAGAATTCTCCGATATTTCTCAACCTTAGGAACTTTTAAGTGCTGAGGACTTCAACTCCCAGAATTTCCTAGCCATCAAGTGTGGACTGCAATTCCCAGAATTCTCTGGGATTCCCTGAACTGGCTGTGGAATTCTGGGAGTTGAAGTCCACACATCTTAAAACTGAGAAATGCTACATTAGAAGTTCCTTCCTAAGTAATCTTGAGAAATTAAAAGCCACTTTTTCTCTTTGAAGTTATTTGACCGGGAACTCTGCGTCCGTCAACTGAGATATTCCGGGATGATGGAAACCATCCGAATCCGCAGGGCTGGCTATCCGATCCGATACACCTTTGTGGAATTTGTCGACAGATATCGAGTCCTCATGCCGGGGGTGAAACCCGCCTATAAGCAGGTAAAGACGAATTATCATATTTAAACAAAACCACAATTCCTTGCCAGCCATCATTACGGGTAGTCCTCGACTTACGACCACAATTGAGCCCAAAATTTCCGTTGCTAAGTGAGACAGATGTTAAGTCAGTTTTGCCCCATTTTACGACTTTTCGTGCCACCGTTGTTAAGCGAATCACTGCAGTTGTTAAGTTAGTCACAGGATTGTTATTAAGTGAATCTGGCTTCCCCCTTGACTTTGCTTGTCAGAAGGTCTCAAACACTACGACCGTCATAAATACGAACCCGTTGCCAAACCTCTGAAATTTTGATCACGTGACCCTGGGGACGCTGCAGCCGTCGTAAGTGCGAAAAACGGCCCTAAGCCACTTTTTTTCAGTAGCGTTGAAACTTCAAACGGTCGCTAAGTGAGCTGTTGTAAGTTGAGGACTACTTGCACTTGCGAGAGTCACCCTGTAAGTGCTTTTTAAGTACTAAAACCCAGGTAGTCCTCTACTTACGACCGTAATTGAGAGGGCAATTATGGTTGTAAGTTGTGCTGATTGTTTATTTATTTATTTATTTAATTTATATACCGCCCTACTCCCGAAGGACTCAGGGCGGTGAACAGCCAAACAGTACAAATACATAGATACAAAATTTAAAAACAAAGTAAAATCGAATTAAACAATTTGGCCCAAACATATTAAAATCCCAATCATTTAAAAAAACGATTAAAATTTGCATAATTAAAAAGAGGGAAAAGATTAGTCCAGGCCCGCCTGGTGGAATAAAAAGGTCTTAAGAGTGCGGCGGAAGGTGCACAGATCTGGGATCCTCCGTATCTCCGGGGGGAGCTCGTTCCAGACAGTAGGTGCCCCCACAGAGAAGACTCTCCCCCTGGGGGCCGCCAGTCGACATTGTTTGGCTGACGGCACCCGGAGGAGTCCCTCTCCATGGGAGCGTACCGGCCGGTGGGAGGCTATTGGTGGTAGCAGGAGGTCCCGTAAATAACCAGGCCCTAAGCCATGGAGCGCTCTAAAGGTGGTAACCAAAACTTTGAAGCGCACCCGGAAGACCACTGGGAGCCAGTGCAGCTCGCGCAGGAGAGGTGTCACACGGGAGCGCCACGTCTCTCCCATTACCACCCGCGCGGCCGCACTCTGCGCCAGTTGGAGCCTCCGGGTGCTCCTCAAGGGGAGCCCCATGTAGAGAGCGTTACAATAGTCCAGGCGGGAGGTGACGAGGGCATGAGTGACTGTGTGCAGGGAGTCCCGATCCAGAAAGGGACGCAACTGGCGAATCAGGCGAACCTGATGAAAAATCCTCCCGGTCACAGCCATCAAATGCTCTTCTAAAGACAGCCGTGAATCCAGGAGGACGCTCAAGTTGCGCGCCCTCTCCGTGGGGGCCAGCAATTCGCCCCCAATAGTCAGTGATGGCACCAACTGACTATATCGGGACGTCGGAAACCACAGCCACTCGGTCTTGGATGGGTTGAGCCTGAGCCTGTTCCTCCCCATCCAGGGGATTGTTGTTATACATCATATAATATTTGAATGAGCAAATAAAATAGGTATAAACAGATCATTGAAATAAACCCTCTGTATAAAGTATGTATGTATGTTTCAGTGATGGGTTGTTCCTGGTTCGCACTGGTTCGCAAGAACCGGTAGTAAAAAATTTGTAGTAGTTCGGAGAACTGATAATAACATTGGCTGGCCACGCCAAGGTTATAGAAAAAATGCTTTTAAAAGTAAAAAAAAATAAAAGTTGGCCACGCCCACCCAGTCACACTAACCCCCACCAAACCACGCCCACAAAATAAGCCACACCCACAGAACCGGTAGTAAAAAAGTTTAGAACCCACACCTGGTATGTTTCCTTTTTCATGGAAATCGGAAACAAACACCAGTTTTTGACCAAAATATTGCTCAAAAGGCAGTTCCGGGTCTACAAGGGAAGGCAGATTCGCTTCATGTTCATGTGATTCACTCAACGACCACAGTGGTTCGCTTAATGACCTTTTTTAAAAAAAAGGGTTGTAAAATTGGGCGCAATTCACTTACCCGCCGCCTCGTTTAGCAACACAAATTCTAACCCCCGGCTGAGGTGGTAAATCGAGGATGAGACCTACGCGCTCGCAGATTCATACTGCGGGAAGGGACCCCCCAGGGGTCATCTAGTCAACCCTCCTCCCGCTTGGTGTGCAAGCTTTGAAATCTGTTGACTCGTTTCTTTCCAGGGAGATCTGCATGGAACATGCCAGCGCATCGCGGAAGCCGTGTTGGGCAAAGACGACGACTGGCAGATCGGCAAGACAAAAATCTTCCTAAAGGTATGTTGGCACTTGGCAGATTATCTCAAAATCAGAGGGAGTTTTCAGGAAGCAGAAGAGGAAAATCCCTGGGGAAAGAAGAGCCAGTGGCCCCTGAATAACAGAGTTGGAGGGGACCTTAGAGGTCTTCTAGTCCAACCCAGTGGTGGGTTGCTACCAGTTCACCCCAGTTCGGGGGAATCGGTTAGGAGGCTCCGCCCTTCTGCCCTGATGTCATCAAAAACGCTTTGCGCATGCAAATCGGTAGCGAACCTGTAGCGCCGAGAATTGAAACCCCCTGCTGAGGCCCTATACCTATGATGGCGAACCTATGGCACGCGTGTCACAGGTGGCACACGGAGCATATCGATGGGCACGCGAGCTCAGCTCCGGCACGCAGGCACGCATGCCGGTCAGCTGGTTTTCGGGCCTTCTGGGCCCACAGCTGGGAAACAAGCTGTTTCCGGCCTCTGGAGAGCCTCTGGGAAAGGGGGGGAGGCCCATTTTTCGCTCTCCCCAGGCTCCATAGCCTTTCTAGGGGGGTGCAAATCTCTAGAATTGGAGACCTCACCTTTCAAGGCTGAAAAAACAAAAGTCGGTTTAATCCATTCCAGCTGCAGTCCAATCTGTTGTTTCATTTTGAAATCCCTCCTTTATCTTATGTTCAAGTATTCTGTTTGAGCAGGGGGCTGGACTAGAAGACCTCCAGGGTCCCTTCCAGCTTCCATTCCATTCTATGCTATTCCATTCCATTCCATTCCATTCTATTCTATTCTGTTCCATTCCATGCCATTCCATTCTACAGTCCAACCTGTTGCTTAATTGTAAAATCCTTCCTTTATCTCGTGTTCAGCTGTGGAAAGTTCTCCCTGTCCAGAAAGTGTTATCAAGTATTGTCCAGTTGTGTGAGCAGGAAGTTTGGAAATCTGCAGCTTGAAAAGGTCTACTACTCAGATAGTTGGCTCACATCCGGAAAACAGGGGATTTTATTTGCAGCCATGAGGACAAGACAAGGAGAACAGTTTTCAAGCTTTAAATAAAGAACAATTTCTTTTTGAAATTCAGTTTTTTTTTTCATGCCTTAAGAATAAGGAGACTCAGTTCAGCCACGGATGGAAACTCATCAAGGAGAGAAGCAAACTAGAACTTAAGGAGAAATTTCCTGACAGTTAGGACAATTAGTCTGTGGAACTACTTGCCACCAGAGGTTATGGTTGCTCCATCACTGGAAGATTTTAAGAAGAGACTGGACAGCCATTTGTCTGAAGTGGTGCAGGGTTTCCTGCCTGAGCAGGGGGTTGGACTAGAAGACCTCCAAGGTCCCTTCCAACTCTGTTATTCTATTCTATTCTATTCTATTCTATTCTATTCTATTCTATTCTATTCTATTCTATTCTATTCTATTCTATTCTATTCTATTCTATTCTATTCATTCTGTAGTCTCTTCTCTTCTCTTCTCTTCTCTTCTCCTCTCCTCTCCTCTCCTCTCCTCTCCTCTCCTCTCCTCTCCTCTCCTCTCCTCTCCTCTCCTCTCCTCCCTTCCCTTCCCTTCCCTTCCTTTCCCTTCCCTTCCCTTCTCTTCTCTTCTCTTCCCTTCCCTTTCATTCTCTATATTCTATTCTGTTCTGTTCTGTTCTGTTCTTTTCTATTCTATTCATTCTGTAGTCTCTTCTCTTCTCTTCTCTTCTCTTCTCTTCTCTTCTCTTCTCTTCTCTTCTCCTCTCCTCTCCTCTCCTCTCCTCTCCTCTCCTCTCCTCTCCTCCCTTCCCTTCCCTTCCCTTCCCTTCCCTTCTCTTCCCTTCCCTTTCATTCTCTATATTCTATTCTGTTCTGTTCTGTTCTGTTCTTTTCTATTCTATTCATTCTGTAGTCTCTTCTCTTCTCTTCTCTTCTCTTCCCTTCCCTTCCCTTCCCTTCCCTTCCCTTCCCTTCCCTTCCCTTCTCTATATTCTATTCTGTTCTGTTCTGTTCTGTTCTATTCTATTCTATTCTATTCTATTCTATTCTATTCTATTCTATTTCTATTCTATTCATTCTATTCTATTCTATTCTATTCTATTCTATTCTATTCTATTCTATCCCACAGTTCAGCCCTGAGCGACAAATATTCTCCTTATCAATGTTGGTATTTGCATATTATTTGCAGTGATTTTTTTCCCCCTCGACTGCTTGGGAAATTCCGTGGTTGATTCCAAGAACTTAATTCATTCTTGGAATCAACTACAGATTTCCCCAGACAGGCCAGGAAAAACAAATTACTGCAAATACAGGTAGTCTTTTAACCTACAACAAAGGTTGAGAAATCCTGTACAGGTAGTCCTCAACTTACAACAATTCATTTAGTGACCATCTAACGTTACAAGGGCACTGAAAAAGCGATTTATGACCGTTGTTCACACTTACGACCATTATGGCCGTAAGATCACCCGACCCCTGGTCATGTGATCAAAATCCAGATGCTTGGCAACTGGTTCATACTTATGACGGTCGTCATATCCCGGGGTCACGTGATCCCCTTTTGTGACCTTCCTACAAGCAAAGTTCACGGGGGAACCCAGATTCACTTAACGACTAGGTTACTAATTTTAAGAACTGCATTCATTTAACAAATGTGGCAAGAAAAGTCTTAAAATGGGGCAAAACTCCCTTAACAAATTTCTCACTTAGCAACATAAATTTTGGGCTCCATTGTTGTCATAAATCGAGGACTACCTGTAATTATGCAAATAAATTTGTCGATGCTTTAGTAAGCCATAGAAATCTCTAGGATACAGATCGTCCTCGACTTATAACAGTTCATTTAGTGACTGTTTGAAGTAACAACACTGAAAAAGGTGACTTATTACCGTTTTTCACACTTATGATCAGCATCCTCATAGTCACGGGATTAAAATTCGGGCTCTTGACAACTGACTCGTTTTTATGACGGTTGCAATGTAATACGGAGATACAGAGGATCTCGGATCTGCGCACTTTCCGCCGTGCTCTTAAGACCCTCCTATTCCAGCAAGCCGGCCTGGCCTAATTTTCTCCCCTGTTTTAAAATTCTTTTAAATCGAAATTTTAATCTGTTTTAAATTATTGGGGTTTTTAATTGTCCCGGGCTAAATTATTTAATCTGGTTTTAATTATGTTTCTAACTTTTGTATCTATGTATTTTATTTTGTACCTGTTCACCGCCCTGAGTCCTTCAGGAGTAGGGCGGTATATAAATTTAATAAAAACTAAACTAAACTAAACTAAACTAAACTAACCATCCAAGCTGGCTTCCGACAAGCCAAGTGGAAGAAATCAGACTCACTTAACGACCTCATGATTCATTTAACAACTGCAGTGACTCCCTTAAGAGCTGAAATAGACTAGACTAGACTAGACTAGACTAGACTAGACTAGACTAGACTAGAATAGAATAGAATAGAATAGAATAGAATAGAATAGAATAGAATAGCATAACAAAGTTGGAAGGGACCTTGGAGGTCTTCTAGTCCAACCCCCTGCTTAGGCAGGAAACCCTACACCGTTTCAGACAAAGGGTTATCCAATATCTTCTTAAAAACTGGAGCATTCACAACTTCTGGAGGCAAGTAGTTCCACTGGTTAATTGTTCTCACTGTCAGGAAATTTCTCCTTAGTTCTAAATACTGTAATAAAATGGGGCAAAACTCACTTAACAACTTCCTTGCTGAGCAACGGAAATTTTGGAGCTCTGTTTTGGCCGTAAGTCGAGGACTGCCTGAGAGGTCTCTTTTTCATCTCTCTCTGATTTCGGAATATAAAATGATTTTTGTGTGTGCGTGTGATGACTTCAAGCCCTTCTTTGCTGCCATTCAGCCAGGATCTAATCCTAATTAACCCTAACCCTAATATATATATAATTTATGTTTTCCAGGATCACCATGATATGCTGTTAGAAATTGAACGGGACAAAGCCATTACTGACAAGGTTATCCTTATTCAGAAAGTAGTTCGTGGATTTAAAGACAGGTTGGTACAGGTTGGGCTAATATTTCTTGGTGTGAAATGTAATCTGGGAATTTATTTATTTATTTATTGGTTCGATTTATATGCCGCCCTTCTCCGGAGACTCAGGGCGGCTTACAATGCGTTAAGCAATAGCCTTCATACTTTTGTATATACCTGCTTAGTAGGGCTTTCGGGCCCCCCCTAAGCGATGTTCTTTTTTATACAAAGTCACCTTATTTCCCCCACAATCCGGGTCCTCATTTTACCTACCTCGAAAGGATGGAAGGCTGAGTCAACCTTGAGCCTGGTGAGATTCGAACTCGCAGTAATTGCAGGCAGCTGGTGCTACTTAACAGCGCTTTAGTCTGCTGCGCCACCAAGGCTCTTTTATTATTAAATTGTGACCGTGGTGGGAAAAGTTTTGTATTCCCAGGGAAACCTTCCAAGATTTCCTTTCTTCTATGCGTCATGGATAAGTTAAACATGATTTTAGAAATTGGCAACGCTACTGACCTTGAAATTGTATTCAGGTTCCTCTGTGGATTTTTAAGAAGAGATTGAACTTTCTTACACTTAGGCAAAAAAACCTAAAGTGCACATATAGACTGGGTGAAACCAGGCTTACTAGCAGTAGCTGTGAGATGGATCTTGGAGTCGTAGTGGACAACCAGCTAAATATGAGCCAGTTGTGTGCAGCGGCAGCCAAAAAGGCCAATGCAATTGCATTAACAGAGGGATTCAATCAAGATCAAGGGAGGCACTAATACCACTCTATAAAGCCTTAGTAAGGCCACACCTAGAGTCCTGCATCCAGTTTTGGTCCCCACACTGTAAAAAAGGATGTTGAGACTCTAGAAAGAGTGCAGAGAAGAGCAACCAGGATGATGAGGGGACTGGAGGCTAAAACATACAATGAACGGTTGCAGGAACTGGGTTTGGCTAGTCTAGTGAAGAGAAGGACCAGGGGAGACAGGAGAGCATCTTCCAATATTTGAGGGGCTGCCACAGAGAGGAGGAAGAGGGTCAAGCTATTCTCCAAAGCCCCCGAAAGCCAGACAAGGAATAATGGATGGAAATTGAACAAGGAGACATTCAACCTGGAAATAAGGAGAAATTTTCTGACAGTGAGAACAATCAACCCATGGAAGAGAAATTGCCTTCGGAAGTTGTGGGAGCTTCATCCCTGGAGGCTTTCAAGAAGAGACTGGACTGCCATCAGTCAGAAATGGTGTAGGGTCTTCGGCAGGGGGTTGGACTAGATGACCTCTAAGGTCCCTTCTGTGATTCCATTACTCAGATAATATTTGGACACCGCCTGATCAGAAACTTCCCCATCTCACTGCAGAAAAGGGGGAAGAAGTCAAGCAGAAACAGACTTGCAAGATTTCTGTTATTATAACCAGTCTCAGGGCTACAGATGATCCTCGACTTACAACAGTTCATTTAGTGACCGTTTGAAGTTACGATGACACTGCAAAAAGTGACTTATGACTGTTTTTTACACGTATACGATCATTGCACCGTTCCTGTGGTCACTTGATCGAAATTCAGACACCTGATTCAATTGATTCATATTTTTATGACGGTTGCAGCGTCCCGCGGTCCACACAATCCCCTTTTGCGACTTTCCGACAAGCCAAGTCAATGGGGAAGCCAGATTCACTTAACAACGGCAAGAGAATTCACTTAACAACCGTGGCAAGTAAGGTCGTAAAAATAGGGCAAATGTCACCTAAAGACTGTTTTGCTTGGCGACGGAAATTTGGGCCTCTATTGTGGTCGTAATTTGAGGACTACCTGTATTCGGCCTGCTTGAGGCAAAGGGAGCTGTGGGCGATATGTCCTTCTCAAAACAGCAATGGGGGAAAAAAATTCTAATTTTGGTCTGAAGTATGTTTGGAGAGGATTTGGGAGTCTGGGAAGGAAGTCAACTTTGTCCTAGTTGAAGTTTCTGATAAGACATTCTTCCTGAATTCAGAAAAACAAGAATCCACTAAGAAGAAGAAAAAAATTACAGTTTTGTGGAAAGTGGCTGGACAACACACTAGGCCGGTGACGGCTAACCTTTTTGCTGTCGCGTGTCAAAAGCGGGGGAAGCGCGGGGGAGTTGCGTGCCCGCGTGGCCACACCTATAATTCAATGCCCCCCCCCGGCGCATGCGCACAAAACCCCTTCCTCGCTGCCCCTGCTTTCGGCACGCGACGGCAATAAGGTTATCGGTGGGCCCAGTAGGCCCATTTTTCGCCCTTCCCAGGCTCCAGAGACTTTCTTGGAGCCTGGGGAGGGCAAAAACAGCCTCCCCCAGCCCCGGAGATCCTCTGGAGGCCAGAAACGGCCTATTTGCCGACTTCCAGTCGGCCTGAAGGCCCGAAAAATCAGCTGGCTGGCTCACGCTGGAGCTGAGCTAGGACAATGCTTGCGTGCCCACAGATATTTATTTATTTCAACTAGCTGGGCTGGCTTGAGTTAAATTTTAAATTGATTTTAAATTGGATTGTTTTAATTTACGGCCAAAATATTTAATTATTTTAAACTGTTTTTAAATTATGTATGTTCTGTTTTTTACTTTGGCTGTTCACCGCCCTGAGTCCTATTTGGAGAAGGGCGGTATAGAAATTGAAACAAATAAATAAATAAATAAATAAATACGGCTCTGTGTGCCACCTGTGGCACACATGCCATATGTTTGCCATCACGGCACTATGCTAATGGACAACTGCAGTTAGTTCTCGACTTGCAGTCGTTCGTTTAGTGACCAAAGTTAAAACGGCACTAAAAAAAATAAACCGGCTTGTGACCGTTTTTCACATTTATGATCGTTGCAGCATCCCCAGGGTCATATGATCAAAATTCGGAGGCTTGTCAACTGACTCATATTTATGACGGTGTCTCGGGGTCCACGTGATCCCGTTTTGCGACTTTCTGGCCATGGGGAAAGCCAGATTTACTTTACCACCGTGTTACTGACTTCACGTCCGCAGCGATTCACTTAACAACGGTGTCAAGAAAGGTTGTAAAACGGGGCAAGACCCCCCCCCTTAACAACTCTCTCTCTCTCAGCCGCAGAAATGTGGGGCTCCGTTGTGGTCGTAAGTCGAGGACTACACCGTACTTTACATACATAATTTGAGGACCTGCCAAAATGACCTTTGAAATGTTGACATTTTTAACTCGCTGAATGACTGTATTTTGGGGACAAGAGCTCATTAACAAGAAGCAGCTTCGGTGAATTTTTTCTCTGTGATTGCAACGAGAAGAAAAGTTCAAAATTTGCAGCAAGCAAGGAAGGGTGTTTAAAAAGCCAAGTTGTGAACTTGAAGCTTTGCACTCTTTTAGGTGCATTGTCTGTGCAACGAGTGTAAAAACAGACCAGCTCTTGATTGTGCAATCGTGGCTAATTTTTAACTGCCTTCTTCTGAATGCTTGCGATCCGAAACCAAACAAACTTTGATTCCGCAATTTACGAGTTGACTCTGTTTCTCCACAACGCTGATGTCAGTGCCTACGTTTTCGTTTTTTCCCCTTTAAAAGACAATCCGCTGATGATTCGATTTTTGATCTTCTCTTGAGCTGGGTTTTTTTTTCCTGCAGACGTTTCCTTCCCAGTGTAGGTAACGTCATCCGTTCGTGAGGGAGTGAAGTGTTTGGTTGCTAAGCAGGAAGCAGGGTGGATAAAGACCCTCTCCAAGGACAAACGCATCAAACAGATATTACGATTTTTCTTCCCAGATCTCATTTCTTGAAAGTGAGGAATGCAGCGCTCATGATCCAACGGAATTGGAGAGGCCACAATTGCCGACGAAATTACGAGGCTGTAAGTATGTCTGAATGTTGCCGAGATGCTATCCTTGGCCACCTTCGGATGTTAATACCGCAAACCGGATATTTATTTTATTTTATTTTTATTTTGCTTTAATTTATATGCCGCCCTTCTCCGGAGACTCAGGACGGCTTACAATGAGTTAAGCAATAGCCTTCATACTTTTGTATATTTTATACAAAGTCAGCTTATTGCCCCCACAATCTGGGTCCTCATTTTACCTACCTTAGAAAGGATGGAAGGCTGAGTCAACCTTGAGCCTGGGGAGATTTGAACTTGCAGTAATTGCAAGCAGCAGATGTTAATAACAGTGCTTTAGTCCACTGTGCTACCAAGGCTCAGATTGGATATAATCTACATCTGCAGCAGGACTTGGTGGGCGTGGCTTGGTGGGCGTGGCAGGGGAAGGATACTGTAAAATCTCCATTCCCACCCCACTCCCGGGGAAGGATACTGCAAAACCCCCATTTCCTCCCAATCAGCTGGCAGAGAATAGATGGGGGTCGGGGCCAGTCAGAATTTTTACTACCGGTTCTCCGAACTACTCAAAATTTCCACTACCGGTTCTCCAGAACTGGTCAGAACCTGCTGAAACCCACCTCCGAATCAAATCCTATTAGGAAACAGTCAATATTTATTTATTTATTTATTTATTTATTTATTTATTTATTTATTTATTTATTTATTTATTTATTATATTTCTATACCGCCTTTCTCCCGTAGGACTCAAGGCGGTGTACAGTCAAGAAAAATATAGATACACAAACATCATATAAATCTTTAAAATATAAATCTTAAGGATACCAGCAACAAGGTTACAGTCATACAGTCCTAAGTGGGAGGAAATGGATGGTGGGAACGATGAGAAGATTAATAGTAATGCAGAATTAGTAAATAGTTTGACAGTGTTGAGGGAATTATTTTTTTAGCAGAGTGATGGAGGAGTTTGGGAAAAAACTGTCCTTGTGTCTAGTTGTTCTGGTGTGCAGTGCTCTATAATGTCATTTTGAGGGTAGGAGTTGAAACAGTTTATGTCCAGGATGCGAGGGGTTTGTAAATATTTTCCCAGCCCTCTTTTTGACTCGTGCAGCATACAGGTCCTCCATGGAAGGCGGGTTGGTAGCCATTGTTTTTTCTGCAGTTCTAATGATCCTCTGAAGTCTGGGTCTGTCTCGTTGGGTTACAGAACCAAACCTACATCCATCCATACAAACCAAGATACAGATACAATGTGAGGAATAGCCACACCTTGCGTGCTTTTATACCTTCAGAATACCCAATTCTGGCACCCTGGCCCATGCCTTCCTTGTAACCTGGCATTGGCTGTGCAGCAAGGAACAGGAGGGCTGAGAGCTTAGCAACAGAGGTACCAGGCTCAGAGTTTTACAGAAAAACAAGATAACAGAAAGTGAGATCGCTGGTAGGAGCAAATGGCCGAGGCAATTCCACTTTTTAGCAAAGCAATTCTTACAGAAACACCAACATCAAGTTATTATGATGTCCCAGTAATTCTACCTATTCTACTATAATTATTATGTCCCTGCACAGAGATAACCCAATTTCACATGTTCACAAATCTGCCTCCCTCCCTTTTGTAATCGGTCCTTCGTGATTCCTGATTCCAGATGAGAATCGGCTTCCTGAGGCTCCAAGCGCTCTACCGTTCCCGCAAACTCCACCGGCAGTACCACATGGCTCGCCAGCGTATCATCGAATTCCAGGCCAGGTGCCGGGGCTTCCTGGTGCGTCGCGCTTTCCGTCATCGTCTTTGGGCGGTCTTCACCATCCAGGCCTACGGACGAGGGATGATTGCCCGGCGGCTCTATAAACGGCTGAAGGGGGAGGTAAGTCTCGCACGCAGAACCCTCAAAGGTCCAACAAGGTCCAGAGTGGGAATCGTTTCTTGGTCGGAAAGCTGACATCCTACAAGGAGACTTTTTTTAACAACGTCTGCCTATCCTAGATCCTAGGGAAGGACTGGGTAGATGATAAAAATGTCACAACTGGCTGGAAAAACTGTTGGAGTTAGGAGATGACTAAATTTGACTGTTTTAGTCAAAAGAAAAGAACACATCTAACTTTGTTTCCACTTGGAAACCATTTCTGGACTTTGTGCTTGAGGTGGGGGAAAAAAATGAAACTTTGATTTTGGGCATTGCTGTTTGTTTATTCATGTCAGTATTAAAATAAGGCATGCTATACGACACGAAAATTAAACGATAAAATAGAAGATTAAAAGATGTACAAATTAAACGCATCTTGCCCAGAAACTAAATGGCTAAAACTGACTGTTTTAGTAAACAAACAAACAAACAACTTCTAACTTGGAAACTGTTTCTGGACCTTGTGCTTGAGGTGAAAAAAATAATAATGAAACTTTGATTTTGAGTTTTGCTGTTTGTTCATTCGTGTTAGAAGCATCACAGTTAAAATAAGGCATGCTATATGACTGTGATGGTGAACCTATGGCACGCGTGCCACAGGTTGCCTGGCACGCCAGTTCAGCTCCGTCTGCTGATTTTTGGTCCTTTTGGGCCCACCAGAAGAGGGCCTGAGGGAGGGGGGGAAGGCCTGTTTTTCCTTCTCCCTGGCTCCAGATCCTCTCTATGCATCTGGGGAGGGCGAAAACAGCCTTCCCCACCCCCTCGGAGGCCCAAAACTTCCCAACTTCCTGCCTCCGAGGAGGTGGGGAGGGGTGCCCTCCCCAGATGCATAGAGAGGATCTGGAGCCAGGTGAGAAAGGAAAAAATGGGCCTACCGGGCCATCGCATGCCACGAGTGGGGGGGGAAGGGGGCCACACTCGCATGTGCGTGGTCGGGCACATAGAATTATGGGTGTGGGCCCGCGCATGCGCAAACCTCCCCCGCCTCCCGCCTTCCTGGCACGCGATGGCAAAAAGGTTAGCCGTCACTGCTATATGACATAAAAATTGAACTATTAAATAGAAGATTAAAAGATGTACACATGAAACAGATCTTGCCCAGAAACTAGCAACATTAATTGTGTTCTGTTGTGCTTAGGTATGCACGGATCTGGGCACAAAGGGCAGGTATACATATGTGTTGTTTTCTGCATGTCAACACAATCGCAAATCGCCATTTGTCCAGAGTGGGTTTTGCTGATTAGATAGGATTGTTGTTATAGGCGTGGCTAGTGTATATTATTATGTAGAAGTAAAAAGTTGAGGCTGTAAATGTTATTATCTTATGTTACTTGCGCTAAAAAGAATCGGAGGTCAGTGCTTTTTTATTTTATTTTTTATTTTATTTTTTTAAAATTTGATTTATATGCCGCCCTTCTCCGGAGATTCAGGGCGGCTTACAATACGTTAAGCAATAGCCTTCATACTTTTGTATATTTATACAAAGTCAGCTTATTGCCCCCACAATCTGGGTCCTCATTTCACCTGCCTTAGAAAGGATGGAAGGCTGAGTCAACCTTGAGCCTGGGGAGATTCGAACCTGCAGTAATTGCAGGCAGCTGGTCTTAATAACAGGGTGCTTTAGACCACTGTACTACCAAGGCTCTTTTCTTTCTTTTTTTCCTATTTATTTGATTCTGGGCAGCTCACAATTCAAAACAGGCATTACAATCAAAACTTTCAAAACAATAAAAACAGAAACAAACATTACAACCATCAAAAACATTAAAACATCAAAGTATGTACAAAAAAAGGTTATTCCTTTTGCCCTACGCTTTCCCTCTTTTCTTTTTCCTCCCTATTATTTTGATTTTCCTTTGTATTCTATAGCCAGAGAAACTATTAAAAATCATAATAATAATAACAACAAATGCACTTTGCACATCTCCAAAATCCATCTCGTTTATCCCTAACTTCAACCATTCAACCATTTCATCTACATGCACCTCAGCAAACATGAGAGGCCGGTTGGTAAAATAAATCCATGGATTGCCTGGTGCAGTGATGGCTAACCTTTTCGGCACCGAGTGCCAAAACAGGAGCATCGGAATTCCGGAAGGCAGCAGCTGGCCGGGGCACATGTGCGCCATTCTTCCGGGCAGCTGTTCTTCCGGGTTCCGGCATGAAGACCAGCTGCCCGGCATACATGCGCGCACCAGAACCCGGAAGAGGAGCTGGCAACAGTGCGTGTGCCCACAGAGAGGACAATGTGTGCCACCTCTGGAACACATGCCATAGTTCACCATCACAGGCCTAGTGCTAATATTGCGTTTCTTTCTTTTTTAAAATTTTTTATTATTTTTTATTTTTAAACAAAACATAAAACATCCATCATCCATTGCGGTGTGTCGATCGGTTACAAATCTTTTGTGCTTCATCCCATATTCATTATTTACTAATTTTCTAATTTCTCATATTATCCATCTAATATACTATATCTTTATATCATTGTTCTCATTTTTTTTCCTTTATTTAACAATGGCCTTTTCATCCCATAAAAAATATTTTCCTGTATTATATTGTGGCATTCATTTCCTCTCTCGTATTTCGTTTCCATGTCTGATTATCGAGCCATTGATAAAATAAATCCCATATCGTGTAATATGGTTTGTCTTCCTGTTCTCTAATTTCCAATGTCAATTTGCTCATTTCAGCACATTCCATGATTTTCTTAATAACTTCATCTTGCGTTGGTATGTCCTCATTTTTCCAGTTTTTAGCAAACTCAAGAAAAATCGGGACTTTTTTGAAACGACGCGGGACGCGGGACAAATTGCTCAAAAGCGGGACTGTCCCGCCAAAAGCGGGACGTCTGGTCACCTTAACATAGAATTATGTGTGTGGGCCCACTCATGCACAAACCTCCCCGCCTCCCCCCTTCCTGGCACACGATGGCAAAAAGGTTAGCCATCACTGCTATATGACATAAAAATTGAACTATTAAATAGAAGATTAAAAGATGTATGCATGAAACAGATCTTGCCCAGAAACTAGCAACATTAATTGTGTTCTGTTGTGCTTAGGTATGCACGGATCTGGGCACAAAGGGCAGGTATACATATGTGTTGTTTTCTGCATGTCAACACAATCGCAAATCGCCATTTGTCCAGAGTGGGTTTTGCTGATTAGATAGGATTGTTGTTATAGGCGTGGCTAGTGTATATTATTATGTAGAAGTAAAAAGTTGAGGCTGTAAATGTTATTATCTTATGTTACTTGCGCTAAAAAGAATCGGAGGTCAGTGCTTTTTTATTTTATTTTTTATTTTATTTTTTTAAATTTGATTTATATGCCGCCCTTCTCCGGAGATTCAGGGCGGCTTACAATACGTTAAGCAATAGCCTTCATACTTTTGTATATTTATACAAAGTCAGCTTATTGCCCCCACAATCTGGGTCCTCATTTCACCTGCCTTAGAAAGGATGGAAGGCTGAGTCAACCTTGAGCCTGGGGAGATTCGAACCTGCAGTAATTGCAGGCAGCTGGTCTTAATAACAGGGTGCTTTAGACCACTGTACTACCAAGGCTCTTTTCTTTCTTTTTTTCCTATTTATTTGATTCTGGGCAGCTCACAATTCAAAACAGGCATTACAATCAAAACTTTCAAAACAATAAAAACAGAAACAAACATTACAACCATCAAAAACATTAAAACATCAAAGTATGTACAAAAAAAGGTTATTCCTTTTGCCCTACGCTTTCCCTCTTTTCTTTTTCCTCCCTATTATTTTGATTTTCCTTTGTATTCTATAGCCAGAGAAACTATTAAAAATCATAATAATAATAACAACAAATGCACTTTGCACATCTCCAAAATCCATCTCGTTTATCCCTAACTTCAACCATTCAACCATTTCATCTACATGCACCTCAGCAAACATGAGAGGCCGGTTGGTAAAATAAATCCATGGATTGCCTGGTGCAGTGATGGCTAACCTTTTCGGCACCGAGTGCCAAAACAGGAGCATCGGAATTCCGGAAGGCAGCAGCTGGCCGGGGCACATGTGCGCCATTCTTCCGGGCAGCTGTTCTTCCGGGTTCCGGCATGAAGACCAGCTGCCCGGCATACATGCGCGCACCAGAACCCGGAAGAGGAGCTGGCAACAGTGCGTGTGCCCACAGAGAGGACAATGTGTGCCACCTCTGGAACACATGCCATAGTTCACCATCACAGGCCTAGTGCTAATATTGCGTTTCTTTCTTTTTTAAAATTTTTTATTATTTTTTATTTTTAAACAAAACATAAAACATCCATCATCCATTGCGGTGTGTCGATCGGTTACAAATCTTTTGTGCTTCATCCCATATTCATTATTTACTAATTTTCTAATTTCTCATATTATCCATCTAATATACTATATCTTTATATCATTGTTCTCATTTTTTTTCCTTTATTTAACAATGGCCTTTTCATCCCATAAAAAATATTTTCCTGTATTATATTGTGGCATTCATTTCCTCTCTCGTATTTCGTTTCCATGTCTGATTATCGAGCCATTGATAAAATAAATCCCATATCGTGTAATATGGTTTGTCTTCCTGTTCTCTAATTTCCAATGTCAATTTGCTCATTTCAGCACATTCCATGATTTTCTTAATAACTTCATCTTGCGTTGGTATGTCCTCATTTTTCCAGTTTTTAGCAAACACAATTCTAGCCGCTGTTAATACATTCACAATCAAATATCTCGAATATTGCGTTTCTTTCCGTAGTATTACCGACGGCTGGAAGCAGAAAAATTACGTCTGCTGGAAGAGGAACGGCTGAGGAAGGAAATGAGTGCGAAGAAAGCCAAGGAGGAAGCAGAAAAGAAACATCAAGTAAGTTCATAGACTCTTGGGGGTGGAAGGGAACGTTGGAGGTCATAGAATTATAGATTCCTAGGGTTGGAAGGGACCTTGGAGGTCCCAGAAGCATAGATTCCAAAGGTTGGAAGGGACCTTGGAGGTCATAGAATCATAGATTCCAAGAGTTGGAAGGGACCTTGGAGGTCACAGAATCATAGATTCCTAGGGTTGGAAGGGACGTTGAAGATCATAGAATCATAGATTCCAAGAGTTGGAAGGGACCTTGGAGGTCACAGAAGCATAGATTCCTAGGGTTGGAAGGAACCTTGGAGGTCACAGAATCATAGATTCCTAGGGTTGGAAGGGACCTTGGAGGTCACAGAATCATAGATTCCTAGGGTTGGAAGGGACCTTGGAGGTCATAGAATCATAGATTCCAAGAGTTGGAAGGGACCTTGGAGGTCACAGAAGCATAGATTCCTAGGGTTGGAAGGAACCTTGGAGGTCACAGAATCATAGATTCCTAGGGTTGGAAGGGACCTTGGAGGTCACAGAAGCATAGATTCCTAGGGTTGGAAGGGACCTTGGAGGTCATAGAATCATAGATTCCAAGAGTTGGAAGGGACCTTGGAGGTCACAGAAGCATAGATTCCAAGAGTTGGAAGGGACCTTGGAGGTCACAGAAGCATAGATTCCTAGGGTTGGAAGGGACCTTGGAGGTCATAGAATCATAGATTCCTAGGGTTGGAAGGGACCTTGGAGGTCACAGAATCATAGATTCCTAGGGTTGGAAGGGACCTTACAGATCACAGAATAATAGATTCCAAGAGTTGGAAGGGACCTTGGAGATCACAGAAGCATAGATTTCTAGGGTTGGAAGTGACCTTGGAGCTCATAGAATCATAGATTCCTAAGGTTGGAAGGGACCTTGGAGGTCATAGAATCATAGATTCCAAGAGTTGGAAGGGACCTTGGAGGTCATAGAATCATAGATTCCAAGAGTTGGAAGGGACCTTGGAGGTCATAGAATCATAGATTCCTAGATTGGAAGGGACCTTGTAGGTCATAGAATCATAGATTCCTAGACTGGAAGGGACCTTGTAGGTCATAGAAGCATAGATTCCTAGACTGGAAGGGACCTTGGAGGTCACAGAATCATAGATTCTTATGATGGGTGCTTCATTATTGGAAGAGATAAGAGATATTAAGAAGAGATAAGAGAGCCATTTGTCCAGAATGGTATAGGGCAGTGATGGACTAACCTTTTTGCCGTCGCGTGCCAAAAGTGGGGGGGGAGCACGGGGGGGTCGTACGCATGCATGCCCACACCCATAATCCAATGCACCCACCCCATGCATGCGCGTGCGACAACCCCCGTGCTCCCCCACTTTTAGCACGCGATGGCACGGTGCGCCAGTAGGCCTGTTTTTTTGCCCTCCCCAGGCTCCAGAGACTTTCTTGGAGCCTGGGGAGAGTGAAAACAGCCTTCCCTACCCCACCAGAGGCCCTCTGGAGGAAATGGCTCATTTGCCGACTTCCGGTGAGACCGGAAGGCCTGAAAACCAGCTGTGCGTGCTGGAACTAAGCTAGGGCAACGCATGCGTGCCCACCGATATGGCTCCCCGTGCCATAGGTTCATCATCACGGGTGTCCTGCTTGGGGAGGAAGACCTCCAAAGTCTATAATTCTGTTTTTCTGTGAATCTTTCCTCGTTGTTGTTCTTTCTAGGTGCGCCTAGCCCAACTGGCTCGAGAAGACGCGGAAAGGGAGATCAAAGAGAAAGAGGAAGCTCGTCGGAAGAAGGAACTTCTGCAGAAGATGGAGAAGGCTCGGAATGAACCTGTGAACGATTCGGACATGGTGGACAAAATGTTTGGATTCCTGGGAATGACAGCGTCGTTCCCGGGACAGGAAGGACAGGCGCCCGACGGCTTTGCGGTAAGCAACTCTGAGAGATGGTGGAGAGGTTGGGAAAATACAGATCGTCCTCGACTTAGAACCATTCGTTTAGTGACCATTCGAAGTTTCGACAGTACTGCAAATGTATGACTTATGGGTTAGGGTTAGGGTTTCACACTTACCAAAATTCAGATGCTTGGCAACTGACCGGTATTTATGACGGTGGCAGCATCCCAGGATTATGTAATAACCATTTGTAACCTTCATAGCTAGCTTCCAACAATGAGGGAAGCCAGTTTCGGTTAATGGCCGAATGATTCGCTTAACAACCATGGCAAAAAGTTAATAAAATGGGGCAAAACTCACTTAACAACAACAGTCTTGCGTGGCAGTGGAAATTTGGGGATCGCTTGGGGCCATCAGCTGAGGACTACCTGTATTTTAATTTGAATTCCTGGCCTTTGCAAGAAGTTGGCCTTAATTGGCCTAGATCCGTGATGGCGAACCTATGGCACGCGTGCCACAGGTGGCATGCGGAGCCATATTGGTGGGCACGCGAGCTCAGCTCCGATTTTTGGGCCTTCTGGGCCACCTGTAAGTAGGGAAACAGGCTGTTTCCTGCCTCCAGAGGGCCTGTGGGGGTGGGGAAGGCCTGTTTTTTGCTCTCCCCAGGCTCCAGAGCCTCTCTAGGAGCCTGGGGAGAATGAAAATGGTCTTCCCCAGCCCCCTGGAGGCCCCCGGAGGTGGGACTGGAAGTCGGCAAACGGGCCGTTTTTGGCCTCTGGAGGATCTCCTGGGGGTGGTGGGGAAGGCCATTTTCGCCCTCCCCAGACTCCTAGAGAGGCTCTGGAGCCTGGGGAGAGCAAAAAGGGCCTACTGGGCCCACTGTGCCATCGCGTGCCAAAAGCAGGGAGAGGTTTGGAGGGGGTCACGCGTGCATGCGCGGTTGATTGGACACATAGAATTATGGGTGTGGGTACGCAACCCCCCACATGCTCCCCAGCATATGAGCTAGTCGTTCCCGACTCTAGGGGGCGGTGCTCATCTCCGTTTCAAAGCCGAAGAGCCAGCGCTGTCCGAAGACATCTCCGTGGTCATGTGGCCGGCATGACTCAACGCCAAAGGCGCACGGAACGCTGTTCCCTTCCCACCAAAGGTGGTCCCTATTTTTCTACTTGCATTTTTTTACCTGCTTTCGAACTGCTAGGTTGGCAGAAGCTGGGACAAGGAACGGGAGCTCACCCCTGTTACGCAGCACTAGAGATTCGAACCGCTGAACTGCCGACCTTTTGATCGACAAGCTCAGCGTCTTAACCACTGAGCCACCCACGTCCCTTCCATTCTATACTTCTGCGCAAAACAGATTTGAGCTGAGTCCAATTTTGGGTTGGGTTCTTTGCAGGATCTCGAAAGAGTTGGAAGAGTGCTGGAAGAAGATGACTTAGATATGGCCCTCCCTCTGCCTGAGGAAGAAGAAGAGGACTTATCTGAGTATAAATTTGCAAAATTTGCTGCCACGTACTTCCAGGGCACAACCACGCACACGTATGTACGCCGGCCTTTGAAACAACCTCTGTTGTACCACGAGGATGAAGGAGATCAACTGGTGAGTTTCCTTGGACAGCTGGGGAGAGAATAAAAGGGCAGGTTTTGGAGATCTCTGATTTCTCGACTTACGACCGTTCATTTAGCGACTGTTTGAGGTTGCAGAAGCACTGAAAAAAGGGACTTACAAGCATTTTTCACACTTACAATCACTGGTTCCCCACGGTCACGTGATCAAAATTCAGTCGCTTGACCTTTGGTTCCTATTTATGATGGTCGCAGTGCCCCTTATGAGAGCTTTTGACAATTATAGTCAATGGGGAAGTGATAGTGTGGCTAACTTAACAATTGCAGTAAGCCACTGTGGACGGAAAGGTCGTAAAACGGGACAAAACTCACTTAACAACTGCCTCGCTTAGCGATGAAAATTTTGGGGCTCGGTTGAGGTTGTAAATCGAGGATGACCCGGATTTCCTTTCCCACAAAACCAGGCAGCCCTCGCGGTGTGGATCACCATTCTTCGCTTTATGGGGGACCTCCCTGAGCCGAAATATCACACCGCGATGAGCGACGGCAGTGAGAAAATCCCGTCATGACCAAAATTTACGAGACGCTGGGGAAGAAGTCCTACAAGAAGGAACTCCAGGCCCTTCAAAGTGAAGGAGAAGTAAGTAAGAAGGTGGCAAGGCCCATTTCTGTTGTTTTTGGTAAAGGAAGAAGAAGGTACTCATAGAATAGCAACCACAGGGCAAAGGTGCCCTTGCAGAAGGAATTCGACAATCATTAGATAAGCGTCAATTTAGCCCAGTCAAACAGAAGTGAGGAAAGCAATGAAGATTGTTCATCTTTGTTTATCTTTCTTCTATGAGGGGAGAGGAAAAAATATCTGGCATGTTTTTGAGGTTCTGTTATTATACTTTAAATACGTAGAATTCCTGTCGTTTATGAGGAGTCTGTTTCTTGGTTGAGCTAGTCGATGTGATAGCAATATTTGAAAGGTATCTGGAGCAGCGTGAAATTGAAGTGAAATAAGGAAATAGAAAGAAATAGAAAACCTCAGAAAGGAAATGAGGAAATAAGAAGTAGAATGGAGTAGAAATAAAAATAAAATTAAATAAGGAAGTAGAAGTAGGAAGAAATAGAAATAAAACAAATAAGGAAATAGAAATCGGAAGGCAAAAAAACCCCAGAAATGATAGAAATGAAATAAGGAAATAAGAATGGAGTAGAAATTAAAAAAAATGAAATAAGGAAATAAAAGTAGGAAGAAATAGAAATAACAGAAAAGAAATAAGGAAATAGAAATCGGAAGGGGAAAAAAACCCCAGAAATGATATAAATGAAATAAGGAAATAAGAAGTAGAATGGAGTAGAAATAAAAAGAAAATGAAATAAGGAAATAGAAGTAAGTAGAAATAGAAATAACAGAAAAGAAATAAGGAAATAGAAATCGGAAGGGGAAAAAACCCCAGAAATTACATAAATGAAATGAGGAAATAGAAGTAGAATGGAGTAGAAATAAAAAGAAAATGAAATAAGGAAATAGAAGTAGGAAGAAATAGAAATAACAGCAAAGAAATAAGGAAATAGAAATCAGAAGGGGGGAAAAAAACCCAGAAATGATATAAATGAAATGAGGAAATAAGAAGTAGAATGGAGTAGAAATAAAAAGAAAATGAAATATGGAAATAGAAGTAGAAAGAAATAGAAATAACAGAAAAGAAATAAGGAAATAGAAATCAGAAGGGGAAAAAAAACCCAGAAATGATATAAATGAAATAAGGAAATAAGAAATAGAATGGAGTAGAAATAAAAAGAAAATGAAATAAGGAAATAGAAGTAGGAGAAATAGAAATAACAGAAAAGAAATAAGGAAATAGAAATCGGAAGGAAGAAACCCCAGAAATGATAGAAATAAAACCAAGAAATAGAAATGGAAAGAAATATAAGGATATGCTGACAGGGGAATTCTGGGAGTTGAAGTCCACTCGTCATAAAGTTGCCAAACTTGAGAAATATTGGGTTAAGCCGTTAAGGTATGATTATTTCTGACACTGGGATATTTCTTTTACAGAGTGCTCATCTAGATAGCCATAAGAAGAGCAGCGTACGGCAGAAATTGGTCTCCTTAACCCTCAAGAAAAAATCAAAGTTAACCGAAGAGGTGAGTCACTCGTCTCGTGTTTAAGCCATCATCCAACCGTCCGATCACAGTCCGAGTGGAGAAATTTGGCTTTTTCCAGGTTAGAGTCCAGCGTTGGGTTTCAGATTATGTTATTACCGGTTTGTGCACGTGTGTGCCCGGTTCGTGTGCGCACCTGCCTTTCGCGCATGCCCCCGGCCTAAAAGACGTGCCTAAATAGGATGCAATGGAGCCGGGGCAGGTGGGTGTGCCCACCCGTGATTTCCGCGAACAGTTCCGGTTTGAGCGAACCGGACTGAACCGGCTGAATATCACCTCTGTTAGAGTCCCACAAAGAAGATTTGCTAGAACTGTCATTGCAGTAAGTTAGAAACAAAGGGCAAAATCTTGATAATCCTCAATTTATGAGGATTATCAGTAGTCCTCAATTTATGACCGCAATTGAGCCCCAAAATTTCCATTGTTAACCTGAGACAGTTGTTAAGTGAGACATGGCCCATTTTACAACTTTTTTTTTGGCCACGGTTGCTAAGCGAATCACTGCCGTTGTTACGTGAATCATGAGGTTGTTAAGTGAATCTGGCTCCCCCCATCGACTTTGCTTGTCGGAAGCCGGCTGGGAAGATCCCAGGATGCTTCAACCATCATAAATGCAAGCAACTTGTTGAACCCAATCTCGTGACCGCGGGAAAGTTGTGTTAGTCGTAAGTGTGAGGGCCCACATTGTCACAAGTTCACCATCACTGTTCTAGATCAGGGGTCTCCAAACTTGGCAACTTTAAAACTTGTGGACTTCAACTCCCAGAATTTAAGACTTGTAGACTTCCAACTCTCAGAATTCATCAGCCGGCCATGCTGGCTGGGGAATTCTGGGAGTTGAAGTCCACAAGTCTTCAATTTGCCGATTTCGGAGAGCCCTGGTCTAGATAGATTGAGACTAGGGTGAAGAAACGAGTCCTCCTCACATTACGACTTTAAAACTTGTAGACTCCAACTCCCAGAATTCCTCAGCTGGCCATGATGGCTGGGGAATTCTGGGAGTTGAAGTCCACAGGTCTTAAATTGGCCAACGTTGGGGAGTTTCATTCTAAATCGATTGAAAATAGGGTGAAGAAATGAGTCCTCCTCACATTCCAGCTTGCCTTGGGTTGGGGACTGGGAATTCTGCCGCGGTGAACTATTTCACAAATTCTACCCGTGCCCTGCTGCTTCATCAGGTGACTAAGCGCCTTCACGATGGCGAGTCCACCGTCCAGGGGAACAGCATGCTGGAGGACCGCCCGACGTCCAATTTGGAGAAACTGCATTTCATTATTGGGAACGGCATCCTGAGGCCAACTTTAAGGTTAGAAATCAGGGGGGGAAAGTAGAAATGCTCCAGGTGTGCATTGCAGAGGTGTACCCCAAAATATCAGCAACCAACTGCCATCAGAGGAGCGTTGTGCCCTAATGTCTAAAGGCCGTAACAGGAAAGTGGTCAAAGAAAGTCAAGATGGTGACACAGCCATGTAATCAAAGCTCTGTAGTGGACATTGAAAGCAGGTGGACTTTCAATCAGGACACCATGGGTACCATCACAACTTTCTTTGAATCTACCCTGTGGACAACTTTGGTCTTTCATTTATACCTCAGTGGGTTTGGAGAACCTTCCAGGATTTGGAGACTCCAAAACTTGGGGATTCCATGATTTGGAGATTTCAAGATTTGGAGAACTTTCCAAGAGTTCCAGACTCCCAGATTTGGAGTTTCCAAAATTTGGAGAACTTTCCAAAATTTGGAGAACTTTCCAAGGGTTCCAGACTCCTGGATTTGGAGATTCCAAGATTTGGAGATTCCATGAGTTCCAGACTCCCAGATTTGGAGATTCCAAGATTTGGAGATTCCAAGAGTTCCAGACTCCCAGATTTGGAGTTTCTAAAATTTGGAGAACTTTCCAAAATTTGGAGAACTTTCCAAGAGTCCAGACTCCTGGATTTGGAGATTCCAAGATTTGGAGATTCCATGAGTTCCAGACTCCCAGATTTGGAAATTCCCAGATTTGGAGATTCCAAGATTTGGAGTTTCCAAGATTTGGAGATTCCAAGATTTGGAGTTTCCAAGATTTGGAGAACTTTCCAAGAGTTCCAGACTCCCAGATTTGGAGATTCCAAGATTTGGAGATTCCAAGAGTTCCACATTCCTAGATTTGGAGATTCCAAGAGTTCCAGACTCCCAGACTTGGAAACTCCTGGATTTGGAGATTCCAAGATTTGGAGAATTTTCCAAACTTTGGAGAGCTTTCCAAGATTTCCAGACTCCTGGATTTGGAGATTTCAAGATTTGGAGACCCCAAGATTGTTCAAATGGATTTGATTAGCAGGTGAAGTTGGATTACATTGTTCATTTTTTTCTTCATCTTCTTGTGGCAGAGATGAAATCTACTGCCAAATCTGCAAACAGCTGACCCAAAATCCTTCCAAAAACAGCCACGCCAGAGGATGGATCCTGCTGTCTTTATGCGTGGGCTGTTTTGCCCCCTCTGAGAAATTTGTCAAGGTAAGTCAAGGACGGGGCCACCTTTCCTGGCCTGGGTGATGGAAATATCTTTGAGGCAGGGCAGATGTTTAGAGTATATCCTATTTGATTTATTTTATAATTGACAATATATACCTGCACCTATTTTCTTGATCCTGATTCTATTTTCTGTTGGTTTTTTTCCTTTCCTTTTTATTATTTAATGTTGCTGCTAATTGAGCAAATAAATCAATACATTTCGAAAAAAAAAGTTCCTGGATGTACAATTGAATGAAGAACTAGGCTTAATTACGGGCCAAAATTTCTGATTTTGTTTCCCAAAATGTAACAGTTATGATTAAAAAATTTTTTTGTGTTGGCTTTGTGTCTCCACAACAGTATTTAAGGAACTTCATTATCGGGGGTCCCCCCGGATACAGCCCTTATTGTGAAGAGAGGCTCAGAAGGACTTTTGTCAATGGGACCAGGACGCAGCCCCCAAGCTGGCTGGAACTTCAGGTAGCCCTTTGGAAGGTTTGCAGGGGGCGCACTCACAAAATGGTGGCCATGGGCAGCTTGAAAATGCCCATTGGCCAATGTTTTCGCTTCTTTCTTTTCTACAGGTAGTCCTCGACTTACGACCCAAAATTTCTGCTAAGCGAGACATTTGTTAACTGAGTTGTGCCCCATTTTACGACTTTCCTGGCCACAGTTGTCAAGTGAATCACTGTAATTGTTAACTTAGTAACACGGTTGTTAAGTGAATCTGGCTTCCTCTTTGACTTTGCTCGTCAGAAGTTCGCAAAACGGGATCACATGACTCGGTCATAGGACACTGCGACCGTCATAAGCCTCTCAATTTTGCTCACGTGATCACGGGGGAATGCTGCAACGGTCGTAAGTGTGAAAAATGGGTCCTGTGTCACTTTTTTTCAGTGCCGTTGTAACTTGGAACGGTCACTAAACGAACAGTTGTAAGTCAGGGACTTTGACTTTGTCATAAACTTGAAGAAAATGTTGGTTTCGGGCAAAAACATCGCAAATAGCGTTCAGATGTCCTCAGACAGCTGCAAATGGTCATAAAAGCAGGCTGGTCATGTGACCACAGGAGTGGTATCCCTTGGAAGTTGAAATCCATAGGTAAAAAAAGGATTAAAGAGCATAATTATAAGGTTGTTTGGAAATGGTATTTGACTCCATTAAGATTGTCATTAATGGATAACAAAATTAGTAAACAATGTTGGAGATGTGATATGGAATTAGGGACTTATGAACATATGTGGTACAAATGTGATAAAGTTAAAATTTTTTGGCAACAATTGGAGGAAATGATATTTGAAATGATGGGGAAAGCAATAATATTGAGACCAGAAACTATATTACTGTTGATAATTAAGGAAATAGAACCAACAAAATATGAGAAAGAATTGATTAGAATTGTCAGAATTGGGTAGAATTGTCTACCCATTATAATGGGTAGAATTATAATAGCCAGATATTGGAAATTAGATGTGAATTTTAGAATAGAAGAATGGTATTGTGAAATGTGGAAATTAGCTTTAAACAATAAAATGACATGTGATATTAAAATTAGAAATGGTGACTATAAAGAAGATATTTTCTGGAAAATTTGGAAACCATTTGTGGACTATGCGCTGGGAAAATTGGATGCTTCGGTACCTGTACCCCGAGAACGTGGATTTTGGCGATCATGAGGATATATCCGAAGAACCAAATCTTCCTTTCTTATGTATAGCACAGGGTGAAATATTGTATATGTTGTTTGTAATGTTAAAGTAATAAAAAATTATTAAAAAAAAAAAAAGGAAAAAAAAAAGAAATCCATAGGTAAAATTTTTGGAGTTTGTCGTAACTTTGAATGTTACGCTAAGTGACTAGTCGTAAGTCGAGGACTACCCATAAAGCATGCAAAGCTGCAATTCAGTCCAAATTTTCTCTGAGACAAGCACAGCTTCAGATCGCAATTGTCGTTGTGTTGTTGACTTGCGTTCTTCTTCCAGGCGACCAAATCCAAGAAGCCGATTATGCTCCCGGTCACATTTATGGATGGCACCACCAAGACCTTGTTAACCGACTCGGCCACTACGGCCAAGGAGCTTTGCAGCTCGTTGGCCGACAAGATAAGCCTGAGGGACCATTTTGGCTTCTCCCTTTACATCGCGCTCTTTGACAAGGTAGGAACCCGCGATGGGAGGAAAAGACCTCAAGGTGAGGCTGGGGGATTCTGGGAGTTGAAGTCCACATGTTTTTAAACTTGACAGGGTTGGGAAACCCTGGCTTAACATTTTACTAAGCTGGCTTTCATGCCTAAAGTGGGACTAGAACTCACTGTCACCTGGTGATTGGCCCAAAGTCACCCACCTGGCTTTCATGCCTAATGCGGGACTAGAATTTACTGTCTCCTGGTGATTGGCCCAAAGTTATCCACTGGCTTTCATAGCAAAGTCGGGACTAGAACTCACGATCTCCTGGTGATTGGCCCAAAGTCACCCAGCTGGCTTTCATGCCTAAGGCAGAACTAGAACTCACCATCTCCTGGTGATGGGTCCAAAGTCACCCAGTCAGCTTTCATGCCTAACATGGGACTAGAACTCACCATCTCCTGGTGATGGTCCAAAGTCACCCAGTCAGCTTTCATGCCTAACATGGGACTAGAACTCACGGTCTCCTGGTGATTGGCCCAAAGTCACCCACCTGGCTTTCATGCCTAAGGTGGGACTAGAATTTACTGTCTCCTGGTGATTGGCCCAAAGTTATCCACTGGCTTTCATAGCAAAGTTGGGACTAGAACTCACGGTCTCCTGGTGATGGGCCCAAAGTCACCCAGTCAGCTTTCATGCCTAACGTGGGACTAGAACTCACCGTCTCCTGGAGATTGGCCAAAGTCACCCAGCTGGCTTTCATGCCTAAGGCAGGACTAGAACTCACCGTCTCCTGGTGATGGGCCCAAAGTCACCCAGTCAGAATTCATGCCTAATGTGGGACTAGAACTCACCGTCTCCTGGTGATTGGCCAAAGTCACCCAGCTGGCTTTCATGCCTAAAGCAGGACTAGAACTCACCATCTCCTGGTGATTGGCCCAAAGTCACCCAGCTGGCTTTCATGCCTAAGGTGGGACTAGAACTCACGGTCTCCTGGTGATGGGCCCAAAGTCACCCAGTCAGCTTTCATGCCTAACGTGGGACTAGAACTCACCGTCTCCTGGTGATTGGCCCAAAGTCACCCAGCTGGCTTTCATGCCTAAGGTGGGACTAGAACTCACGGTCTCCTGGTGATGGGCCCAAAGTCACCCAGTCAGCTTTCATGCCTAACGTGGGACTAGAACTCACCGTCTCCTGGAGATTGGCCAAAGTCACCCAGCTGGCTTTCATGCCTAAGGCAGGACTAGAACTCACCGTCTCCTGGTGATTGGCCCAAAGTCACCCAGTCAGCTTTCATGCCTAACATGGGACTAGAACTCACCGTCTCCTGGTGATGGGCTCAAAGTCACCCCCCTGCCTTTCTCGTTCTCTCTTCTTTGCCAGGTCTCTTCCCTCGGAAGCGGCAGTGACCACGTCATGGATGCCATCTCGCAGTGCGAGCAGTTTGCCAAGGAGCAGGGTGCCCAGGAACGCAATGCCCCTTGGCGACTCTTCTTCAGAAAGGAAATCTTCACCCCCTGGCACAATCCCACCGACGACTACGTCGCTACCAATCTCATTTACCAGCAGATCGTCCGAGGGGTGAAGTTTGGGGAATACCGATGTGATAAGGTAAACCTTGAAGTCCTTGCCACGTTCAAAATTCAGAGCAAGCTGAAATTTTGGATAAAATAAAACCCGGATCCTAAAATGAGGGTGGATTAGTGAGTGTTCTGCCCCAGCTACGGACCCCAAAGAACACAGCACACACAAAGTTAGTACAAAACTTAATTTACTAAAATAACTCAGTCTTTATCAAAACAAAGGCTGTTAATAAACTTTCTTAACAGCCTACAAGAAACCAAAGATAAAGTAATCACAATCTTACTAAAGTTGGCAGAAACCCAGAAGCAATTTGCAGAGAATCCAGACATGAAGTAGAGTGAACTAAAGTTTTTCCCTACAAATTGCTTCAGTCGGTGTTCCTCCTTAAATAGGCTAAGGGAGTGGCCAATTAGTCCCAAGCCTTAAATTTTTTTTACTACCGGTTCTGTGGGTGTGGCTTGGTGGGCGTGGCAGGGGAAGGATACTGTGAAATCCCCATTCCCACCGCACTCCAGGCGAAGGTTATTGCAAAATCCCCATTTCGTCCCGATCAGCTGGGACTTGGGAGGCAGAGAATAGATGGGGGCGGGACCAGTCAGAATTTTTACTACTGGTTCTCCAAACTACTCAAAATTTCTGTTACCAGTTCTCCAGAACTGATCAGAACTTGCTGAAACCCATCTCTGGACTGCAGTGATTCACTTAGAAACTTTGGTGAGAAAGATCATAAAATGTGACAAAAATCACTTAACAACTGTTTTGATTAGATAGATAGATAGATAGATAGATAGATAGATAGATAGATAGATAGATAGATAGATAGATAGATAGATGATAGATAGATAGATAGATAGATAGATAGATAGATAGATAGATAGATAGATAGGATAGGATAGGATAGGATAGGATAGGATAGGATAGGATAGGATAGGATAGGATAGGATAGGATAGGATAGGATAAATAGAATAGATAGAATAGATGATGAATGGATGGATGGATGGATAGATGATGGATGGATGGATGGATGGATAGATAGATAGATAGATAGATGGAAGGATAGGATAGGATAGGATAGGATAGGATAGGATAGGATAGGATAGGATAGGATAGGATAGGATAGGATAGGATAGGATAAATAGAATAGATAGAATAGATGATGGATGGATGGATGGATGGATGGATGGATGGATGGATGGATAGATGATGGATGGATAGATAGATGATGGATGGATGGATGGATGGATAGATAGATAGATAGATAGATAGATAGATACAATGGTTGTAAATGCAAGGACTGGTTGTAAATCACTTTTTTCAGTGCCTCTGTAACTTCAAACACTGAATGGATGGTTGTAAGATGAGGACCACCTGTCTTCCCTTAGGACAGTGATGGCGAACCTTTTTAGCACTTAATGCCCAAAACGGAACACACGTGAATGCACATGCATGTGTGAGCGTGCGTGTGCTGGAGCGCTGGAAACCCAAAAACTAGCTGGTCGGTGCGGGCATGCCTGTTTTGGGGGCATTTTTCTGAAAACGGCCAGAAAATGGCCCCAAAATGGCCTCAAAAAAAGCCTGTTTTTTACCCATTTCTCGAGCCGTTTTCAGGCCGTTTCCTGGCGCTCCGGCACCCACGAAGACCAGCTGGCTGGGAAAACCAGAAGAGCAGTGCCAAAGGTTCGCCATCGAGGCCTTCGGTGATGTCTAAATCTTTTTCGAACAGCTCTTCCCGTATGTCTTTGCAGGAGGAGGACATGGCCGAATTAGCTTCCCAGCAATACTACGTGGACTATGGATCCGAAATGGTCTTGGAGCGTCTCCTGAACCTGGTTCCCTCCTACATTCCCGACCGAGAGATCACGCCTTCCAAAACGGTTGAGAAGTGGGCTCAGTTTATCATCGCTGCCCATAAAAAGGTAAATCAATCAATCAGATGGATCTCCTTTGCCACAGGAGTGAGAGAATGCAGGGTAGATCCAATGGAACCTGCCTGCCAAACTTCATAGAAGGACCATCTGCAGTGGGTAAGGCACCAGGCTAGACAGCAAGAGACCACGAGTTCAAGTTCCGTCGTAGGCGTGAAATCCAGCTGGGTGACTTTTGGCCAATCGCCAAAGAGACAGCGATTGTAGTCCCGCCTTAGGCACGAAGCCAGCTGGGTAACTTTGCACCAATCACCAGGAGACGATAAGTTCTAGTCCCGCCTTAGGCATGGAAACCTGCTGGATGACTTGAGCCAATCACCAGGAGACGTGAGTTCTAGTCCCGCCTTAGGCATGGAAACCTGCTGGATGACTTGGGCCAATCACCAGGAGACGGTGAGTTCTAGTCCCGCCTTAGGCATGGAAACCTGCTGGATGACTTGGGCCAATCACCAGGAGACGGTGAGTTCTAGTCCCGCCTTAGGCATGGAAACCTGCTGGATGACTTGGGCCAATCACCAGGAGACGGTGAGTTCTAGTCCCGCCTTAGGCATGGAAACCTGCTGGATGACTTTGGGCCAATCACCAGGAGACGGTGAGTTCTAATCCTGCCTTAGGCATGAAAGCTGGTTGGATGACTTTGGGCAAATCACCAGGAGAGTATGAGTTCTAGTCCCGCCTTAGGCAAGAAAGAAAAGAAGGACTAGGTGTGACATGATAACAGTCTTCCAATATTTGAAGGGCTGCGACAAAGAGGAGGGGGTCAACCTATCCTCCAAAGCCCCTGAAGGCAGGACAAGAAGAAACATATGGAAGCTAATCAAGGAGAGGAGCAACCTAAAACGAAAGAGAAATTTCCTGAGAACAATTAATCAGTGGAACTACTTGCCACCAGAAGTTGTGGGTGCTCCATCACTGGAGGTTTTCAAGAAGAGATTGGACACACATTTGTCTGAAATGGTGTAGGGCAGTGATGGCTAACCTTTTTGCCATCGCGTGCCAGAAAGGGGGGGCGGGGGAGGTTCGCGTGCACCTGTGCTCACACCCATAATTCTATGCACCCCGCCCCGCGCATGCGACCCCCCCCTTCCTCCCGCTCCTAGCACTCGATGGCCCGGTAGGCCCGTTTTTCTTTCTCACCTGGCTCCAGATCCTCTCTATGCATCTGGGGAGGGCGAAAACAGCCTTCCCCACCCCTTCGGAGGCCCAAAACAGCCCGTTTCCCAACTTCTGGTTGGACAGGAAGTGACTTTTTTGCTGTCCCCAGCCTCCAGAGACTCCGACACGTGCACACCGGAGCTGAGCTGGTGTGCCAGGCAACATGGCTCCGCGTGCCGCCTGTGGCACGCGTGCCATAGGTTCGCCATCATGGGTATAGGGTTTGCTGCCTGAACAAGGGGCTGGACTAGAAGACCTCCAAGGTCCCTTCCAACTCTGTAATTCTGCTAATCTGTGTCACGAGGTTCCCAAGAACTGTTTTTCTTTGTCTTCCAGGGAATTTATACTCAGAAGAGGATGGACCCTAAAAGAGTTAAGGAAGAAGTGGTGGACTTCGCTCGTTTTAAGTGGCCTTTGCTGTTCTCCAGGTTCTACGAAGCATTTAAGTTTTCAGGTAAGCCCAAAAGTTTCCCAAATACTGTTGCACAACAGGTAGAGGTCACTCACGCAACCAAGTGTCCAACTTTTCCTGACCACGAGGGCTCTTCTGCAGACGTCCAGGAAGCCCCAACACCCTCTCCAATCGCAAAATGCTGCAAGATTGCAAGTCAACTTCCAAATGTGTTTTTAGAGTTTTAAAAAGACTGCTTTTTTCCCCCCTTTATATTTGTCCTCTACATTTTTGGGTACCTTTAATATTTTTGTCAACACACCGAGCCTGTAGTAATTCAAGTGGGATATTTTAAGGAGGAATGGAATAATAAATGTCCTATTATTTTTTTTTAATTTGATTTATATGCCGTCCCTCTCCGGAGACTCAGGGCGGCTTACAATGCGTTAAGCAATAGCCTTCATCCTTTTGTATATTTTATACAAAGTCAGCTTATTGCCCCCACAAACTGGGTCCTCAATTTACCTACCTTAGAAAGGATGGAAGGCTGAGTCGACCTTGAGCCTGGCGAGATTCGAACCTGCAGTAATTGCAGGCAGCTGGTCTTAATAACAGGGTGCTTTAGACCACTGTACTACCAAGGCTCTTCGGTATAAATAAAATGGTTTTGCCTGTTTGGTAGATTTCTAGCACAGGTAAAGTTAGTCCTTGAGTTATGACCATAATGGAGCCTGCCCATTCTGGTTGTAACTCATGATTTTTGTGACCTCTTTTGTGGCGGGCATTAAGCGAATCCACTGTGGTTATTCATTGGATCTGTGGTTATTAAGTGAGCACTGAGGCTGAATTTGTGATCCTTTTTGCGACCACTGAGGTTGAATCTGTGGTCGTTAAGCCGGTGCTTTGGAAAATAAATTTAACCCCTTCTTCTTTGGGGCAGCCCCTCAAATATTGGAAGACTGCTATCATGTCACCCCTAGTCCTTCTTTTCATTAGACTGGACATACCCAATTCAGTCACAGAACAGAGCTGTGGAAGGGACCTTGGGAGATCTTCTAGTCCAACCCTCTGCTCAAGCAGGAGAATTTATAACATTTTAGACAAATGAGTGTCCAATCTCTTCTTAAAAACCTCCGATATTGGAGCACCCACAACTTCTGGTGGCAAGTTGTTCCACTGGTTAATTGTCCTCGCTGTTAGGAAGTTTCTCCTTAGTTCCAGGTTGCTTCTCTCCTTGATGAGTTTCCATGCATTGTTTCTTGTCCTGCCTTCGGGTGCTCGGGGTGATGTTTGGGGTGAGACCCACACCTACCTTTCCTTCACGTTTTTCTGCATTTTTTTTTCTGTCTTAACACCAGGTCCCAGCCTTCCACAAAACGAATTGATTGTAGCGGTGAACTGGACCGGGGTGTATTTCGTAGATGAACAAGAACAGGTCCTTCTGGAATTTTCCTTCCCGGAGATAACAGCTGTCTCCAGCAATAGGTAAGATCTTAAAAAAAAAAAAAAACACCAGGTAATCCATAACTGCATGAACAGTGCCCTGAGGAAGCATTTTTCTTTTTCTATTTCTTTTTTTTTCAATTTAAAAACAAACTTTATTGAATTTAAAAATATTAACAAACAAAAACAAAGAGAAAATATACAAATTTTCTCTCTCTTAAAACTTACCTTTTCAATCCATAATTACACTAATAAACTCAGTACATATGATTATATAAACACATATATACAAATCTACCGTGACTTATTTACTTTTTCTATCTATCTGACGGTGCATTTCCCCCCCCCCCCCATTTCCTCTAATTCTTATCTTTTCCCTTTTTTCTTTTGGTTTATCCACTTATACCATCTATTCCATACTATAAAATACTTTGAGTCTTCCTTATCTTTTAATTCTAAAGTTAATTTATCCATTTCTGCGCATGTATAAATTTTTTGCATTACTTCCTGATCTGTTGGCATAGAGGAAGCATTTTTCAATTAACAGAGGGATGCAATCAAGATCAAGGGAGGTACTACTACCACTCTGTAAAGCCTTAGTAAGGCCACACCTAGAGTACTGCATCCAGTTTTCATCACCACACTATAAAAAAGGATGTTGAGACTCTAGAAAGAGTGCAGAGAAGAGCAACCAGGATGATGAGGGGACTGGAGGCTAAAAGATACAATGAACGGTTGCAGGAACTGGGCCTGGCTGGTCTAGTGAAGAGAAGGACCAGGGGAGACAGGAGAGCATCTTCCAATATTTGAGGGGCTGCCCCAGAGAGGAGGAAGGGGTCAAGCTATTTTCCAAAGCACCTGAAGGCCAGACAAGGAATAATGGATGGAAACTGAACAAGGAGAGTTTCAACCTAGAAATAAGGAGACATTTTCTGACCGTGAGAACAATCAACCAATGGAGGAAAAGTTGCCTTCAGAAGTTGTGGGAGCTTCATTCCTGGAGCCTTTCAAGAAGAAACTGGACTGACTTCTGTCAGAAATGGTGTAGGGTCTCCTGCTTGGGTGGGGGGTTGGAGCAAATGACCTATTAGGTCCCTTTCAACTGTTAATCTGTTAGATCTGTTGGAATCTTGGCAACTTCAAGCATGGCTGGCTGGGGAATTCTGGGAGTTGAAGTCCACCCGTCTTAAAGTTGCCAAGCTTGAGAAAACACTGTTCTAAGTGGTAATTTCCAATTTTCTAGAGAATTGGTAACATCTGTGTCAATGGTGGGTTCCTCCCGGTTCGGTCCGGTTCGGCCGAGCCGGTAGCGGTGACGATATGACGTCACCGAACCGGTTCTCCCCCCCCGCCCTCCCACCTCCCCACCCCCCCACGTTATTCTTACCTTTTATTTGGTCCCACCCCCAATCTATTGCTGCCTCCTGAGTCCCAGCTGATGACTAGAGGGAAAAAAACTGTTTAAACTCTTGCCGGGGGGCTTCAAAGGGCCGCCCTACAGCTGATCAGTGTTAAAAGCAAACAAATGAGTCGGGTTGTAAGTGCGAGGACTGGTCGTAAGTGCAAGGACCTTCCAGAAATGACTCTGACCAGCTAGCCACGCCCACCCAGTCACATGACCTCCAAGCCACGCCCACAAAATAAGCCACACCCACAGAACCGGTAGTAAAAAAAATTAGAACCCACCCCTGATCTCTGTGTGTGTGTGTGTGTGTGTGATGGACACACAGAGTCAACCTGAAGTCATCCAGGTTCCTTTATCTGATAACGTGTGTGTGTGTGTGTGGTGTGTGTGTGTGTGTGTGTGTGATGGACACACAGAGTCAACCTGAAGTCATCCAGTTCCTTCATCTGATAACGTGTGTGTGTGTGTGTGTTGTGTGTGTGTGTGATGGACACACAGAGTCAACCTGAAGTCATCCAGGTCCTTCAGCAGTGGCAGGATTCCTTCTCTGATAGCCACGTTGTGTTTGCCCGAGGGAAGATATTTTGGAAATGTTTGGTCTGGGGTCTTCAGGCTGAATTCTTTCCATTTGGTGGGTCTTTCCTGCAGCGGAGGGAAACTCCAAGGGCAGAGTTTCACCTTGGCAACCATCAAAGGCGACGAGTACACCTTCACCTCCAACAATGCGGAGGACATCCGTGACCTGGTGGTCACCTTCCTGGAAGGGCTGAGGAAAAGATCGAAATACGTGGTCACACTGCAAGACAACCCAAATCCAGGTAAGCCCAGGAGCCAAACGGAAGGATTTAGTGAAGGGAGTTAAAAAGCTTTCCTTTCCTTTCCTTTCCTTTCCTTCCTTCCTTCCTTCCTTCCTTCCTTCCTTCCTTTCTTCCTTCCTTCCTTCCTTCCTTCCTTCCTTCCTTCCTCTCCCTCACCTCCCACTCTCACCCATCCTCTCTCCCCCACACCCTTCCATCTCTCTCTCTCCTTCATTCCTTTTTTCGTTTTCTCTCTTCCCCTTTCCTCCTATCTTCTTCCTCTTCCGTTGCTGCCCTTCCTTCCTTTCCCATTTTCTCTCCTATTCTCCTTCCTTCCTCCGTTTCTTCCTTCCTTCCCATTCTCTCCTTATTCTCCTTCCTTCCTCCATTTCTTCCTTCCCTCCCATTCTCTCCTATTCTCCTTCCTTCTCCATTTCTTCCTTCCTTCCCATTCTCTCCTATTCTCCTTCCTTGCTTCTTCCTTTCTTCCTTCCCATTCTCTCTTATTCTCCTTCCTTCCTCCGTTTCTTCCTTCCCATTCTCTCCTATTCTCCTTCCTTCCTCCATTCTTCCTTCCTTCCCATTCTCTCCTATTCTCCTTCCTTGCTTCTTCCTTCTTCCCTCCAACCCTTCCTTCCTCCCTCCCTTCCTCCCTTTCACATTTTCTCTCCTATTCTCCTTCCTTCCTCCCTTCCTTCCTTCCAATTCTCTCCTATTCTCCTTCCTTCCTTCCTTCCATTCTCCCTCCCTCCCTCCCTCCCTCCCTTTTGTTCCTATTTAGACAATGGATCCGCTGAACAATCTGTGTATTTACTTAACGGCCACAGTGATTCATTTAATGACCACCACAAGAAAAGGATTGTCAAATCAGTGTTCACCTGGGGATCTGCTTAAAAGCTACCACAACTTACGACCATAATTTTGGGCTCGATTACGGTTGTAACTTGACAACTTATCTGCTGTTGGCTGGGGAATTCTGGGAGTTGAAGTCCACGTCTCTTGAAGCTGCTAATGTTGAGAAACATTAGTCTAGTTCAGGGGTCTCCAACCTTGGCAACTTTAAGACTTGATCCGGATCTTTCTCTTGTCCTCCATGCCAACATTTTCCAATTCTGTCTCCCTCTAGCTGGCGACGATTCCGGTTTTCTCAGTTTCCTCAAAGGAGATTTGTTGATTCTGGACCAGGATACGGGAGAAAACGTGATGAATTCTGGCTGGGCCAACGGAGTCAATGAACGGACCAAGCAGAAGGGAGACTTCCCAACTGATTCGGTCTACGTCCTGCCCACTATGACCACGCCTCCTCCGGACATCGTGGTAAACCCCCTGACACACGCTTGAACAGAAAAAATAGGTGGTTTCTGGAGGAATCTCTCCAGAGTCACTTGGTTGAGCTGAGAGGCCATTGAAATTGGATGGATGGATGGATGTGTTGAATGGATGGATGGATGTGTTGGTTGATTGGATGGATGGATGGATGGATGGATGGTGGGTACCTCTTCCCATGGAGTGAACCAAGTCTTTGAGTTCTGCAGCTGTCCTAATGTGAAACCAAGATGGAATGATGGCTTCTATTAACTGGGTTTGATTGCTGGGTCGCTTCTGACTAACCAGTTTCTTTAATCGGCTCCATCGATTTTCCATTGGGTGAAGGTCTGGGCTATTCCCAGGCCATTCCAGCAGCGGAATATGATTATCTTGAAACTCCAAAAAAAAGTGGTGTTATTAGCCATCAAACCTCAAAAATACACTTTTCCCAACAGGTTTCCACAATTTTGGCCACTACTGTTACAATAGGGCTGACCCCGACTTACTATACGGGGTGCAAAATATTGATGTAATTTTGAGGAGGATGTTGGAGAAAATAGGAGGGGGTCACAGGACTTCCTCTTATTCGTTTTTAGTCAATTTTTGTTTTCAATAACTTCTCTGCCCTCCATACCCCCCCCCCCCCCCCCAGGCTTTGGTTACCATGACTCCAAATCAGAGGCAAGAAGTTGTAAGGACATCCCAGCTGGTGATGAGTGACAGCGAAGAAAGGATCAAGCCATACACCCTGGAAGAATTCTCTTACGATTATTTTAGGTAAAAACCGTCAAAATTGAGCTTAATATCAGGTGTAAAGAACTTGGTGAGTTCAAAGCACTGAATAGTTGATTATTGCTATCTATGCAGGCAGTCCTCAACTTACAACCACCCAAAATTTAAGAGCCTGTAGTACAGTGGACTAAACACTGTTATTAAAATCTGCTGCTTGCAATTACTGCGAGTTCGAATCTCACCAGGCTCAAGGTCGACTCAGCCTTCCATCCTTTCTAAGGTGGGTAAAATGAGGACCCAGATTGTGGGGGCAATAAGCTGACTTTGTATAAATATACAAAAGGATGAAGGCTATTGCTTAACGCATTGTAAGCCGCCTTGAGTCTCCGGAGAAAGACGGCATATAAATCAAATTATTTAAAAAAAAAATTCTGTCGCTAAGCAGGACATTGGTTAAACCGAGCTTTGCCCCTTTTTACGACCTTTTTTTGCCACCGTTGCTGAGCGAATCACTGCAGTCGTTAAGTTTGTCACACCGGTTTCCCACATTGGCTTTGCTCGCCAGAAGGTCGCAAAAGGGAATCGCGTGGCTTCCTGGGACGTAAATATGGGTCATAAATATGAACTGGTTGCCAAGCATCCGAAGTTTGATCACGTGATCGTGGGGATGCTAGAGAGGTGTGAGAAAGGGTCGTAAGTCACTTTTTTCGGTGCTGTTGTAACTTTGAAAAATAACTGAATGGACTGTTGTAAATTGAGGACTATCTGCACACACAAATCTGGCCAACTAACAGTCAAAGCTAAATTGGTGCTAGATAAAGGTCAGCAGAATTACGTGTGTGTGTGTTGGACTTGGTCTCTTGTGGCAATGCAACGATTCCAAACAAATAGCACGTATAACCCTTCCATCACTGGATGTTTTAAAGAAGAGTTTAGACCAGTGATGACTAACCTTTTTGTCATCGTGTGCCAAAAGCGTGGGGAGTGTGTGTGGGGTCACACGCACATGTGCCCATATCCATAATTCTATGCGCCCCCTCATGTCCCCCCTGCTTTTGGCACGCGATGGCACGGTGGGCCTGGTAGGCCCATTTTTCGCTCTCCCCAGGCTCCAGAGCCTTCCTAGGAGCCTGGGGAGGACAAAAACAGCCTTCCCGATCCCCCCAGAGGCCCTCCGGAGGCTGGAAACAGCGTGTTTCCTGACTTCTGGTGGGCCCAGAAGGCCTAAAAATCAACTGGTCGGCGCACGCATGCGTACCAGAGCTGAGCTCGCGTGCCCACCAATATGGCTCCACGTGCCACCTGTGGCACCCATGTCATAGGTTCGCCATCACGGGTCTAGACAGTCACTTATCTGAAATATTATAGGTTCTCCTCTTGGGCAATCTCTTCTTAAAAACCTCCAGTTATGGAGCACCCACAACTTCTGGTGGCAAGCTGTTCCACTGGTTAATTGTCAGGAAATTTCTCCTTAGTTCTAGGTTGCTTCTCTCCTTGATGAGTTTCCATCCGCCGCTTCTTGTCCTGCCCTCGGGTGCTTTGGAGAAGAGCTTGACTCCCTCTTCTTTCTGGCAGCCCCTCAGATATTGGAAGACTGCTATCATGTCTCCCCTGGTCCTTCTCGTCATTAAACGAGACATACCCAATTCCAGCAACCGTTCTTTCTGCGTTTTTGCTTTCCTTAGGCACAATCCTAGGACCAACACACATACAAACTGGTGCATTGTGCTCCTTGAAAAAAAATGCCAACTCTCTCTCCATTTTCTGTACAAAGTCTGTCTCTTTTAATATTGTACTATTTAAAGTCCATCTGGATTTTCTTTTTTGTCCTTTCCAAGTAACTATCACAGGATTGTGGGTCTGCCCATATATTGGTTTCTATTTCTACTTGTCCAATATTCAAAGCCAATTCCATTGTGGTCCATATCATATCCAACCTAGACCAAGATGTATGTCTATCAGAATAAAAAGTATATTGTCTATTTTTTCCATTTCTATCTCTCCAAACGTAGAGAATTGCAATATTTAATGGTGAATGTTTTAACAGCGGCTAGAATTGTATTTGCTAAAAACTGGAAAGGAGAGAAGATACCTACTGATGATGAAGTTGTTAAGAAAATGTTGGGCTGTGCTGAAATGAGTAAATTGACATTTGAAATTAGAGAACAGGAAGATAAACAATATTATTTTAATAATTATTTAATTATTTTAATATTTTAATATTTTCAATATCTTTTAATTTTCAAAGTTTAAATCTGTTTTAAATTGATTGGGGTTTTAATCTATCTGGGCCAAATTATTTAATTCGATTTTAATTCTGTTTTTTAAATTTTGTATGTATGTATTTTATTGTTGGCTGTTCACCGCCCTGAGTCCTTCGGGAGAAGGGCGGTATACAAATTAAATAAAAGTAAAGTAAAGTAAATTATTTGATATGGGATTTGTTTTATCAGTGGTTAGATAATAAAACATGGAGATGAAATTATGAAATATGAAACGGATGTAAAGATAAAATATGTAAAGTTCTTTTTCATGGGAAATAAGCTTCTGTCATATATTGATATTTTGAGGATGGGATTGAGCACAAAAGAATGTTAACCGATCGACACAATGTCTGTAATTGTTTGGAATGATTATGGTTTTTATGTTATGATTTTTGTTTTAAATTTTAAAAAAATTGCCATCAGCCAAACAATGTAGGCTGGTGACCCACAGGGGGAGGGCCTTCTCTGTGGGGGCACCTACCCTATGGAACCAGCTGCCCCCAGAGATAAGGAGAATCCAAGACCTCGGTGCCTTCCGCCGTGCCCTTAAAACTTTTTTTTTTCAGCAAGCCGGGCTGGCTTAACATATTTTTAATTTTTTTTTTTATTGAAAAAGTTTTACAAATACAAATTTTCCCATTTTTACACCCCCCTTTCCCTCCCTAACCCTCCCTAGCCCTCCCCTCCTCCCATGACTTCCCCAAGGTGAAATCCGTCCACATTATATTATATCATACTTTACCACCCTTCTATTCTCCCCCCTGTGTACTATACATTTCTACATGACATTGAACTATTCTACCCCCTATATACTATACATTTCTACACAACATTCAAGTAAAAGCTATCTGGTACTTCCTAGTTTGGTATTTATTCTGCACATAATCTATCCATTTCTTCCACTCCCATACATAAGTCTCTTGAGTCCGGTCTTTTAAGTATGCTGATATCTTCGCCATTTCTGCAAAACTGGCCATTTTTAAATATTTTTAATTGGTTTGTCATTTTAAACTGGGGCCAAATTAATATATATTCTTTTAATTGTTTTTAATGTTTGTATTGTATGTTTTTATCTGGCTGTACACCGCCCTGAGTCCCTCGGGAGAAGGTGCGGTATATAAATTTGAAATAAAATAAAAATTAAATTAAATTTAATTTAAAAAAAACAACAACATTGGTGCATTGTGCCATTTTCCCAAGCCGTACTGGCTGGTGGGCCATGCCAAGACTGACAGTCTGTTTTCCTCGCCAGGCCTCCTCCCAAACACACTCTGAGCAGAGTGATGATCACCAAAAACCGAGGAAAAGACAAGTTGTGGTCCTACACCAGGGAGCCGATCAAACAGCCCTTGCTGAAGAAGATCCTGAGCAGTGAGGAGCTATCTCAAGAAGCTTGCATGGCTTTTATTGATATCCTTCTGAGTTCGGAGTCAAGAGGTGATTTTTTTTTCCCCCATATGTGAAACATCTTACGGGGTCTGATGCTGGTTTCCTTGGAACATCAATGTTGGCCTGCTGGATGGGAACCCAGGTCCATCTACAGTAGTAGCCAAACCTTTTGGGAAAAGTGTATTTTCTAAAACTAGCTAATAACACCACTTTTTTTTTTTTAGAGCAGTACCATAAACTTATATATCAATGGAAAGATAATTGAATCAAGAATGTCAGGCAATAACTTTGATGAAGGATTTGCTTTTAGAATAGCAGTGACAGTATAAAGAAGAAAAGGGAAACACGTAGAAAAAAGGAGATCTACAAAAATGATCACCATAGAAAAAACGAGATATACAAAAATTATCACAGTGTCAGTTAATATTTAGTTGGGGAACCTTTAGCATGAATTATGGCCTTACAACGTCTTCCCATGGAGCGAACCAAGTCTTTGAGTTCTGCAGTTGTTCTAATAATGTGAAACCAAGATTGAATGGTGGCTTCTATTAACTGGGTTTGATTGCTGGCTCGCTTCTGACTAACCAGTTTCTTTTCCATAGATTTTCCATTGGGTGAAGATCTGGGCTATTCCCAGGTTATTCCAGCAGTGGAATAGGATTATCCTGAAACTCCCCCCCAAAAAAGTGGTGTTGTTAGCCATCAAACCTCAAAAATACACTTGTCCCAAAAGGTTTCCCATAATTTTGGCCACTACTGTAGTCCAGGACTTGTTCTCTTAGAGGACTACCAAACTGCCCGAGGAAGTCCACTCATGTCCCAGTAGAGGGCCTTCAGAGTTAGCCTCATTACCATCAAAGCCTGGGATCTCCAGGACTTCCATGAATTGGTCTTAGCCATGTGGGAAGCCAGCCAGATGGGTAGCCAGCATCAAATCTTGAGGTTAAGAGTTCACCTGGACTTCAGCTGGAAAGGAAGGAAAGAAGAAAAACAAGGAGAAGGAAGGAAAGAGGGAGGGAGGGAGGGAGGGAGGAAGGAAGGAAGGAAGGAAGGAAGGAAGGAAGGAAGGAAGGAAGGAAATAGATTGAAATTCAGTAAAGTGTTCACCATAAAAACAATCAGCCTTAAAAAATAAAGTTCATTTTGGGAAGGAAGGAAATAACAGAATGACAGGGAGGGTGGGAGGGAGGGAGGAAGGAAAGGAAGGAAGGAAATAACAGAATGACAGGGTGGGAGGGAGGGAAGGAAGGAAGGAAGGAAATGACAGAATGACAGGGAGGGAGGGAGGGAGGGAAGGAAGGAAATGACAGAATGACAGGGAGGGAGGGAAGGAGGGAGGGAAGGAAGGAAGGAAGGAAGGAAGGAAGGAAGGAAATAACAGAATGACAGGGTGGGAGGGAGGGAAGGAAGGAAGGAAGGAAATGACAGAATGACAGGGAGGGAAGGAAAGAAGGAAGGAAATAACAGAATTACAGGATGGGAGGGAGGGAAGGAAGGAAGGAAGGAAATGACAGAATGACAGGGAGGGAGGGAAGGAGGGAAGGAAAGAAGGAAGGAAATGACAGGGAGGAAGGGAAGGAAGAGAGGAAGGAAGGAGGGAAGGAAGGAAGGAAGGAAATGACAGAATGACCGGGAGGGAGGGAAGGAGGGAAGGAAAGAAGGAAGGAAGGAAGGAAGGAAGGAAATGACAGGGAGGAAGGGAAGGAAGGAAGGAAGGAAATGACAGAATGACAGGGAGGGAGGGAAGGAGGGAAGGAAAGAAGGAAGGAAGGAAGGAAATGATAGGGAGGAAGGGAAGGAAGGAAGGAAGGAAATAACAATGACAGGGTGGGAGGGTGGGAGGGACGGAAGGAAGGAAGGAAATGACAGGGAGGGAGGGAAGGAAGGAAGGAAATAACAGATTGACAGGGTGGGAGGGAAGGAAGGAAGGAAGTGACAGGGAGGAAGGGAAGGAAGAGAGGAAGGAGGGAAGGAAGGAAGGAAGGAAATGTCAGAATGTCAGGGAGGGAGGGAAGAAAGGAAGAAAATGACAGGGAGGGAGGGAGGGAGGGAAGAGAAGAAGGAAGGAAGGAAGGAAGGAAATGACAGGGAGGGAGGGAAGGAAGAGAGGAAGGAAGGAAGGAAGGAAATGACAGAATGACAGGGAGGGAGGGAGGAAGGAACGAAGGAAAACAAGGAGAAGGAAGGAAAGAGGGATGGGGAGGGAGGAAAGAAGGAATGAAGGAAGGAGGGAAGGAAATGACCAAAAGGGAGGGAGAAAGGAATCCTTATCTTTAATTATATCCTTAACCTGGACACCCATCCTGAAGTACATGGGCGATTACCCCTCCAAAAGGACCCGCTCAGTGAATGAGCTAACAGACCAAATCTTTGAAGGGGCCTTGAAGGCCGAAGTTCTCCGAGACGAGATTTACTCGCAGATCCTGAAGCAGCTGACGGACAACCACGTGAAGTAAGTGGTGCTGCCTTCTCTCTCTGCTGGGCTGCCTTGTTCTGATTGTGCCAACCCTTTCTCTACGAGACGCGGAACCTGCCGTACGCAGACCACGGGGGATGCTACAACGGCCGTAAGCGCAAAAAACGGTCGTACGTCGCTTTTTTTTCCAGTGCGGTTGTAACTTCGAATGGTCCCGAAACGAATTGTTGAAAATTGACTATCGTGAGATCACTAGATGTCTAGCTTGCTTTGAAGGAGTTTCTTATCTTTAGTGTGTTTTGTATTCTACTACATCTACATGGAGGGAATTAAGAAGTGGGGTACCACAAGGTTCCATCTTAGACCCAGGACCAGGGGTGAAATGCTCCTGGTTCGGACCGAATCGCCCGATCCGGTAGCGATGGCGGCGGGCGGTTCGGAGAACCGGTAGCAAAAATCCCTGCCGGGCTTCCCCCCCCCATGCCCAGCTGATCCGCGCAATCATCAGATTTTTTTACTTTTAAAAGCATTTTTTCTACCACCTCTTCCGACGAAAAAATGCTTTGAAAAGTTAAAAAAAAAAAGCCTCTGATGATCGCGCGGCTCAGCTGGGATCGTCAGAGGCTTTTCAAAGCATTTTTTTCTGCAACCTCTTGGCTGAAGAGGTGGTAAAAAAAATGCTTTGAAAAGCCTCTGACGATCCCAGCTGAGTTGCCTGATCGGCAGAGTGGCTTTTCAAAGCATTAGAAAAAATGCTTTGAAAAGTTTTTTTAAAAAAAGTTGGCCACGCCCACTCAGTCACATTACCCCACCACCACCAAGCCACGCCCACAGAACTGGTAGTAACAAATTTTACATTTCACCCCTGCCTAGGACTCTTCAATATCTTCATAAATGACTTATGAATGAGAGAATTGTTCTGTCCCCGTCCCACACACGCACCCCCACAGACAGCCCGGAGTTAATAAGCCACACGACAAAACTCTTTGAAGATAAAGCTGGCAGCAACCCAGTGGCTAGCTGCCAATTCAGACTTTACTCACACAAAACAAAGATTAGACTGCAAGCATTCCGATAAAGCAGGCAAAGTTTCAGCAATACAAGGATTAGTCCAAATGCAGTCCGACAAGGCAGGCAGAAGTCCAGGAATGCAGAGATCATGGATTATTTCTAGTTTTTGCTCGTCACAAACTGAACCGGCCTCCACACCCACATTTATACCCTGTGGGGTGTGGTCCAGTGACTCAGCTAATCTCTGGCACGCCTTCCCCTCTGCTGCGTACGCTTCTCCCTGTGCCTCTGCCGAGGGTCCAGCCAGCACTTATCTCCTTCGTCGCTGTCCACCTGTGGCTGTGGGGACGTGCTTGGCTCTGAGCCTATCTCTTGGCCTTCGGTGTCCTCCGGAGGCATTGCCAGAGAGGAGGCTCCTGGAGAGGAAGGCCTTGCCAACTCCTCTCCCTCACTCTCAGAGTCTGCATCTGTCGATAGCCCAGGCTCAGGCAATGGAGCCACAACAAGAATAAATGACTTAGATGAGAGAATAGAAAGAGGACTTACAAAATTTTCAGATGATATTAAGCTGGCAGGAATAGATAGCCAACAGCAGTGGTGAAATCTGAACCAGTTTGCCACTGGTTCACTGGCCACGCATGTGCAGTATGCACCAAACACATGCTGCACGTGCACATATGCGAAGTACGAGCCTAACACATGCTTCACACGGAAAAAGGAGGCTTGGGAAGATAAGTAGAACAGGTGGGGGGGGGAAACAGCTGTGCCGCACAATTTAGATTCACTAGAAAGCAGAATTTCCTGCTTTCTAGCAATTTTAAATCGCGCAGCACAGCTGATCCTTGGAAATACCAGTTTGAAGGAATCGGTAGCTTTTTTTTTTTTTTTTACTACCGGTTTGGGCAAACCGGTAGTTTTTATCAGTGTCAGGTTTTCAGGCCGTCTTCAAATAAATTGCGTCTCAAACAAAGTCTTTTTTGAAACAAACTTCCATTTTATTTAGCACGGCAACTTTTACACTGACTCCGTGCAGCCAGCACTGACGTGCTGACCCAAAATCCCTCCTCTTCCTTCCCCCACTCCTCTGCATTCATTGGCCATCTTCCCAATCATTCACCCCTAATCTACTGCTCCAATTCAAAGAATTTCCCCCCTCCCATCCATCTCCTAGGGGACTCTGTTCTTAATCTATGTATTATGTATTATGTGTTTATGTGTTTTTACTTGGCTGTACACTGCCCTGAGTCCCTAGGGAGAAGGGCGGTATATAAATCTAAAGTAAAATAAAAAAATAAAAAATAAAAAAACCTGGAAATGAGGAGGAATTTCCTGACAATGAGAACAATCAACCCGTGGAACAGAAGTTGCCTTCAGAAGTTGTGGGAGCCTTTCAAGAAGAGACTGGGCTGCCATCGGTCAGAAATGGTGTATGATCTCCAGCTTGGGCAGGGGGTTGGACTAGATGACCTGCAAGGTCCCTTCCAACTCTGTTAATCTATCTGTGTCTGTATTTCTTGCGGAAAAGGTACAGCGAAGAAAAAGGCTGGGAACTGCTCTGGCTGTGCACGGGTCTCTTTGCGCCTAGTAACGTCCTGCTACTCCATGCCCAGAGATTCGTCCAGTCACGGAAGCATCACCCGCTCGCCAACGACTGCCTACAGAGGCTACAGAAAGCTCTGAGGTTCGTGCCCCATTGCCAAAAACTCCACATTTAGGGAATTACAAATTGGGGGAACTGCTATCCGCCTGAGAATAGGAGAATCAATCCACCGAGTCGAGAAATAGTGAGGTATTGGGCCTTCAGGTTGAAGAGGCTGGTCTAGGCCCCGGGTGATGGTGAGTTCTAGTCCCACCTTAGCCATGAAAGCTGTCTGGGTGACTTTGGGCCAGTCCCCGGGAGACGGTGAGTTCTAGTCCTGCCTTAGGCACAAATGCCAGCTGAATGACTTTGGGCCAATCGCTAGGAGATGGTGAATTCTAGTTCCACTTTAGGTACGAAAGCTGGTTGGGTGTCTTTGGATCAATCACCAGGACCTGGTGAATTCTAGTCCCAGTTTAGGCTTGAAAGCTAGCTGGGTGAGTTTGGGCTAGTCACCGGGCGACTGTGAATTCTAGCCCTGCCTTAGGCACAAAAGCCAGCTGGGTAACTTTGGACCAATCCCTAGGAGACAGTAAATTCTAGTTCCACTGTAGGTATGAAAGCTGGTTGGGTTTTTTTGGGCCAATCACCAGGAGACTGTGAGTTCTAGTCCCACCTTAGCTGACTCTTTTTAACACAGTACAAGATAACAACATTACAACCTCAACTTTTTACTTTCACACATTAGTATATAACTAGCCGTTTCTACAAGAAGGAATCCATCTAATCGGCAAAACCAAAGTCAACGTTTCATATTTTTTTTCATCACTAGCATCAAATCCCAAAGCGATATCCAAATAAAAAAATATATTCTCCTCTTTGAATACAACAATCCATTTAACTTTCAACATTGTCTCTTGTAGGAACGGGTCCCGAAAATATCCTCCCCATCTGGTGGAAGTGGAGGCCATTCAGCATAAAACGACGCAGATTTTCCATAAAGTCTATTTCCCGGATGACACCGATGAGGTAAAGGCAAAAACTCTCGGCCGGATCAATAGGAAAAATCCATCCCTGGTCCCTTTGGTTAAGGAAATACAGGTAGTCCTCGCCTTACGACCACAACGGAGCAAAAAAATATCTGTTATTAAGTGAAACATTGGTTAAGTGAGTCTTGCCTCGTTTTACGACCTTTCTTGCCACGGTTGTTAAGTGAATCTGGCTTCCTCGTCGGCTTTGCTTGTGAGAAGGTCGCAAAAGGGAATCAGGACACCTCAACCGTCATAAATATGAGTCAGTTACCAAATGTCTGGATTTTGATCATGTGACCATGGGGATGCTGCAACGGTCGTAAGTATGAAAAAGGGTCATAAGTCAATTTTTCAGTGCTGTTGTAACTTTTAACGGTCACTTAATGAACTGTTGTAAGTCGAGGACTACCCGTAATGCATAAACGCAGGTAGTCCTCATCTTACGACCTCAACTGGGACCAGAATTTCTGTTTCTGCCAAGCAAGGCGAATATTAACTGTCTCTCACCCAATTCCAGGGGTTGTTAAACGAATCAGTTAACTCCTTAAGGGACTTATGTGGTTGTTAAACGAGTCCAGATTCCCCCATTGACTTTGCTTGTCGGAAGGCGGCAAGTGATCGCATGACCTGAGGACGTTGCATTGGTCGTACGTGTGAAGACTGGCCCTCAATAATTTCTTTCAGCGCCGTTGCAACTTGAAACGGTTGCTAAACAAGTGGTTATAAGTCAAGGACTACTTTTAAACACAGCAGCCGTAGCTAAATAAAAGAGCCGCTTGCAGAGACAGACTTACAAAGCTGGTTTCAACGTTTCCTGCTATTGGGGTTAATGCACTGCATTAAACCATCATGGTTTATTTAGTTCGTCCAAATGTCTTCTAACCGCCCAGTTGGGCTCACCCAGCTGGCTAATTTGTATTTAATGGAGTAAACCATGTTTAAACCCTGGTTTGGCCCATGAGGTAAACTCAGCTTGTATGAAACCAGGTTATTTCTTCTTCTTTCTTGCCTCACCAGGCATTTGAAGTGGAATCTGGCACCAAAGCCAAGGATTTCTGTCAAAGCATCTCCAAACGGCTGCTCTTAAAATCATCGGAGGGATTCAGCCTTTTTATCAAGATTTCGGACAAGGTGAGTTTACAATTCATTGCCGGCCGGACTTTATTCGGAGTTGTATCCTGTATTAACAGAAGCTTCCCCAGCCCAGTCCATTAATACCGGAACCCTAAAACGTACGAAGAACGGTTGCAGGAACTGGATACGTCCAGTTTAATGAAAAGAAGGACCAAGGGAGACATGATAGCAGTCTTCCAATATTTGAGGGGCTGCCACAAAGAGGAGGGGGATCAACCGATTCTCCAAAGCACCTGAAGGCAGGACAAGAAGCAACGGATGGAAACTCATCAAGGAGAGAAGCAACCTGGAATTAAGGAGAAAATTCTTGACAATTAAGCAGTGGAACAGCTTGCCACCAGAAGTTGTGAATGCTCCATCCAACTGGAGGTTTCTAAGAAGAGATTGGACATGGTATGGGGTATCCATCTTGAGCAGGGGGTTGGATGAAGAGACCTCCAAAGTCCCTTCCGACTCTGTTATTCTGTGATTTTGTTAATATTCGGATGGGAGACCACTGGGAGATCCCCGCGCTCTTGAATAACCAAAAATGAACCTAGAGGTAGATGATAGCATAGCTGGTGAAGATATATTAGGTGGCTACATCAAGTGTCCCCAAACTTAAGTGAAACATTTTCAAGGAAAAATGTCTATGGAGATTCTCAGTCATCCAGGTCATGGTTGTCCCAAAAGTGATTTTTTTTCCAAGAGGCAACTGGTTTGTTTGCTTGTTTTTCCTTGAAGACGTTTCGCTTCTCGTCCAAGAAGCTTCTCCAGTTCTGACTGAATGGTGCAGAATGGAAGGATTTATATTCCTTGCAGTCATCTGGTCCTTTAAGAGTCGTGGACTCGGACTTCCGGGTTGGCTCCGCGGCGCCATGGACGGTCTTTTTAGACCGCCGCCCCCGTTGAGCCGTTCTGACAGCGCTAATCAGCTGTCAAACGGCTTGAAAATCTCCCCTTCGGGAAAAGAAGGGGAGGAGAGCTGGTGGGTGAGGGTAGAGCTCCCCGAAAACCCCTGGATTAATTCCAGGGGTTCGGAGGGCGAGAGCTCCCCGTTCAGCCCACTGAAGCTCCGGATCCGGGGGGACTCTGTTTTTTACAGAGCTAGGCATCGCGTCCAATTTCTGCTGTCAAACAGAAGATTAAATGATTTCAAAAAAGCAGGCGGAACGTCTTCAAGGAAAATCCAAAAAAGTCCAGTTGCCTCTTGAAAAAGCAGCTGTGGGTCGGGTTAAGATTGTTTTACACCTTTAGTAGACATACTCCAGCTAGACAGAGCACCTACCACCGGTGTTGCCGCTTCTTCCTCGGCTTCGAACAGGATCCTAGATATGAAAAATAAAGCTGTGAGGAGAGTCACCAGGGATGAAATTTAGCAGGTTCTGACAGATTCTGGAGAACCAGTAGCGGAAATTTTGAGCAGTTCGGAGAACCGGTAGCGGAAATTTTGAGTAGTTCGGAGAACCGGTAGCGGAAATTTTGAGTAGTTCGGAGAACCGGCAAATACCACCTCTGGATGGTCCCAGAGTGGGGAGGGAATGGGGATTTTGCAGTATCCTTCCCCTGCCACGCCCACCAAGCCACGCCCACCAAGCCACGCCCACAGAACCGGTAGTAAAAAAATTTGGATTTCACCACTGAGAATCACTTTCTATTTCACTAAGTTTGATGGACATCTCTCTAGCTACCGTAATCACAATCTGTTCAGCCAGGACAGGGTTGGCGCCTTCTCCTGGTGGACGTAACTTTGGCACGGAGCCGCAACTGAGCGTTGTCTTGATATGGGTGTGCAAAATGCCCGTTTGTGTGGGTATCCTTGGTAAATGAGAGGGCATCTTTGTAGTTCATTTCCTTCCCTTTAATGCAGCATTTCTCAATCTTGGCTGCTTTAAGGTGGGTGGACTTCAACTCCCAGAATTCCCCAGCCAGCATGCACATGTTAAAAGGGTCCAAAGTTGAGAGACACTGCTTGTCTTCTTCCAGGTCATCAGTGTCCCGGAAGGAGATTTCTTCTTTGACTTCGTCAGGCATCTGACCGACTGGATCAAGAAAGTGAGACCAGCAAAAGATGGTAATTCTTCGAGGGTGTTGCGAGCATCCTTGCTCTTCTTGACTTCAATACATAAATCTTTACTTCCTTCTAGTTCCCTCTAGTGGCCAGCTTTCAAAATTGCATCTTGTCATGTTGTTTTTTTTAAGTGAATTCAAAACAAAAGCTTTTCCCACCAGAAGGATTCTTATAAATAATTCCAGAATCTTATCTCAAAACCATCTGAACTCATTGTCCGTTTGTAAACTTCCGAAATCATCCTTTTGTTGTTTATTCAAAACAAAAAAACTCCTGCTTAAGTCCTTAAATTTGTAAAAGATTAAAAGAAACTCACTGAGGGTTTTCAGACTTGTTGATCTCAAAGTTCCCAATACAAGTAGTCCTCGAATTACAACAGTTCATTTAGTGACCGTTTGAAGTTACAATGGCACTGAAAAAAAGTGAGTTTTGACCGTTTTTCACACTTATGACCGTTGCAGCATCCCCGTGGTCACTTAACAACTGCCTCACTCATTTAACAATTCACTTAACAAATGTGGCAAGGAAAATCGTAAAATGGAGCAAAATTGGCCTATCTTGAATAATTTGCTTGCTTAACAACTGCAGTATTCATTTAACGACCATATAGGTTACTTTGTGCCTGAAGCTGCCGTTGAAGGACCACCACAAAAAAAGGTCATAAAATCAGATCATGGGTGACCCAATTTATGAACATCAGGATTTATGAACCTGATGGCCAGGCTCCCTTACGGTCATAACTCGAGGACTACTTGTTTAAACTCGTTTAAAATGTGTGGACTTCAACTCCCAGAATTCCCCAGCCAACCTATGCACATTAACAGATAGCTTTCTGCAGCGGCCCCTGCAGTCAGGAGTCTGAATTGCATCCACAACCTCTAACTGTAGATCAATGTTTTTAAACCTTGGCGTGTTAAGATGCGTGGACTTCAACTCCCAGAATTCCCCAGCCAACTGGCTGGGGAATTCTGGGAGTTGAAGTCCATGCATCTTTTTTTTTTCATGTTTTATTTGTTTTATTTATATAACACTCAATTTTCATCAAACAGTGTGTATTCTGGGTACAATTATATTTTGATGGTTGTTCTGGTCACAATGGTAATATTTATACATCTTCATTATATTTAGTCATCACCGTCATATTAATAATATAATAACATTATGATATAATAGCCTTAATACTTAACATTTAACATCGTCTTCTTTAATGGCTCTCCTCTGTACCATTTCCTCCCTTTATTTCTCTTCCTTTGTAACTTCTGTTTCTATTATCTAGCCTTTAATAAAATGTGTCCCATATCAAAAAATAATCACTTTCTTCTTTATCCTTAATAGCAAGTGTTAATCTATCCATTTCTGCACAATCTAATTTTTTTATTATTACATTCTCCTCAGATGGGGTCACTTTTCCATTGTTGCGCAAATACAACCGTTAATATATGCAAAAATCAAATATGCAGTCTTTTAATCATATTTTCCTGGTAGAATGCCCAGCAAAAATATCTCTGGTTTCAGATCTATATGTAGTTTTATCATTTTTTCCAGCCATGTGTGTATTTTTGTCCAGTATTTTCTTGCTCTTGGGCATGTCCACCACATGTGATAATATGAACCAGATTGAACCAGATGGCCTTCTGCAGCGACCCCTGCAGTCCGGAGTCTGAATTGCATCCACAACCTCTAATTGTAGATCAGTGCTTCTAAACCTTGGCGGGTTAAGATGCATGGATTTCAACTCCCAGGCTGGGGAATTCTGGGAGTTGAAGTCCACGCATCTTAAACGTGCCAAGGTTGATAAACTCTGCCTTAAATTAACCATGGGTCGTCACGCAATGTACAAACAACTTTGGATGTTGTTCCTGATTTTGCTTTGCAGGGCTTGTGCCTTCTCTCACCTACCAAGTGTTTTTCATGAAAAAGCTTTGGACTAACACCACGCCTGGGAAAGATTCCATGGCGGACTCCATTTTCCATTATTATCAGGTACGTCCCGAATCTGCAAGGGTTCATCATGCATTCTTTCTGATCCTGGAGCAGGAGATGGTGGAGAAGAACGATTCCCAACTGGAGGCCCATCCCTCGCTTGTCCTTTTTTGAGCATCTTGGACGATAGGAGCTAAGGATGGCGAGGAGAACGTTGCCTTCTTCTCAAATATTAGGGGGGAAAAAATATCATTTTGCATTTTGGCCTTGAAGGTTTAAAGCAATGTTAATTATTTTACTCTCTGAGCTTTTGTTGTTTTCTTGAAGACATTTCATTACCCAATTGGTTAAGAAGGAGGAGGAGGAAGAAGGGAGAAAGAGGGGAAGAGGAGGGGGAGGAAGAGGAAGAGAAGAGGGGGAGGGAGGGAGAGGAGGACTGTGGGGGTCGTTGGTGCTCTCTGAGAAATGTCTTGCTGACATTTCATTACCCAACTAGGAAATATAATCAGTACTAGATGGGGAGGAGGAGGAGGAGAAAACAAGAAATCAACCAAGGTCAGAGAGCACCAAGGACCCAAAAGTTCTCCTCCTCCTCCTCCTCCTCCTCCTCCTCCTCCTCCTCCTCCTCCTCCTCCTCCTCTCCCTTCTAGTACTGATGATGTTACCTAGTTTGGTCATAAAATGCCTACAAGAAAACAGCCAAGTTCAGAGAGCTCCAAGAACAAAAGCTCAAGCGAGGAACCTCCCAAATCACTCCCACTAACACTGACACTAGTGTATAAACCAAGAGTAACCCCCCCCCTTCCCTCTAGCATTGATAACATTCCCTAGTTGGCTCACGAAATGTCTCCAAGAAAAGATTCAAGTTCAGAGACCACCAAGGACCCCATGTTTCCTTCATCCGCTTTCGAGATGCTTCAGAATGTTTTTCTCACCACTATCTGACTTTGGCACAGGAGTTACCAAAATATCTTCGGGGCTACCATAAATGCAGCCGGGAAGAAGTCCTACAGCTTGGAGCCCTGATCTATAGGGTGAAATTTGAAGATGATAAATCCTGTTTTCCGAATATCACGAAACTTCTCAAGGACTTGGTACCCGAACCTCTTATTCGACAGCTGTCACCGGACGACTGGAAGAGGGTAAGTTTGCTCCAGGAATTGTCTACTTCCATATCTGTCTACTGTGTTTCCCCAAACATAAGACTGGGTCTTATATTAATTTTTGCTCCAAAAGATGCATTAAGGCTTATTTTCTGGTTAGGTCTTATTTTTGGGGAAATACGGTACTAAATGTGTCCATCTGGATGACAATCTTAACTGGGGCTTATTTTGGGAGTAGGGCTTATACTACGAGCATCATGCTAGGATTTATTTTCTGGTTGGGTCTTATTTTGGGGGAAATACGGTACTAAATGCATCCATCTGGATGACAATCTTAACTGGGGCTTATTTTGGGGGTTTGGGCTTATATTACGAGCATCCTGAAAAATCATTCTAAGACTTATTATCTGGTTGGTCTTATTTTTGGGAAAACAGGGTACAGCTAGACCTCGACTTGCGATAGTTCATTTAGTGATCGTTTGAAGCTGCAACGGCACTGAAAAAAGTGAATTAGGACCGTTTTTCATGCTTAGCGACCATTTCAGCATCCCCACAGTCATGGGATCAAAATTAAGACCCTTGACAGCTGAGTCATATTTATGACGGTTACAGTGTCTTTTGGGGGGGTCACGTGATCCCCTTTTGCGACCCTTCTGACAAGCCAAATCAATGGGGAAACCAGCAGCCGGGTTACTAAAGCAAGAACTGCCGTGATTCACTTAACAACGGTGGCAAGAAAAGCTGTAAAATGGGGCAAAGCTCACTTAACAAACGTCTCACTTAGCAACAGAAATGTCGGGCTCCATTGTGGTCGTAAGTCGAGGACTACCTGTTATCTGTCTGTCTCTGTAGTAAAACCACACTTTTAAAACCACACATCCAGTTTTGGTCACCACGTTATAAAAAAAGATGTTGAGACTCTAGAAAAAGTGCACTAGAAGAGCAACAAAGATGATTAGGGGATTTAAGGCTAAAACATATGAAGAAAGGTGTCAACTCGCAAAGCATCCCTGGCCTGCTCTCGGGTTGCCATAGGCAAGGAGGATGGGAAACTGACGAAGCAGCATGGCAGCCAAAAACAGAAGCACATTCCAGACATATCTCTCTCAAGGCTGTCTCCCAGGGATACCCACAGCGGCTGGAGGGGAGTGATCTGTATAACCCCAAAATTGCTCCGTTGGTGAATGTGATTGATGACACACCCTGGGGGGGGAGGGGGGAAACAGAATTGTGATTGGGGCGTAAATTACGAGGGGTCAGAGTTGGCTTCACTTGGACGTGCAGACGTGAAGCTCCTAATAAATAACTGGATTTCTTTTGAAGCTTGTCTCGAGGCTCATGATTTAATCAGGGCATTCGTTGGAACCCTGACAAAAAGTTGCAGGAATGTCTAGTTTAATGCAAAGAAGAGCGAGCAGCGACATGATAGCAGTTTTCCAATAATTGAGGGGCTTCAACAAAAATGAGGGGAGTCAAACTATTTTCTAAAGCACCTGAAGGCAGGACAAGAAACAATGGTTGGAAACTAACCAAGGAGAGAAGCAATCTAGAGCTAAGGAGAAATGTCCTAATGGTGAGAATTAACCAGTGGAACAGCTTGCCACCAGAAGTTGTGGGTGCACCTTCCCTGGAGACTTTCAAAAAGAGACTGGACAGCCATTTGTCTGAAATGGTATCGGGTCTCCTGTTCGAGCAGGGGGTTGGACTAGAAGACCTCAAAGGTCCCTTCCAACTCTGTTATTTTATGTTCTTTCCCCCAATGTGTATAGATGATCCTTGTCTCCAGAAAGGGACAAGAAAGAAATGTAGTGATTTTTGACTCAGTGACTCCCTGGGTCAAAGAAGGACAAGATAGTGGGCCTTGACCACGACATCAAAGCCACAGATGTGACTTTTTTCCATTGCACAAACTTTCTGTTGCAATCTTTCTAGTTTTGGCAAAGATTCTGTCCGTTTTCCTAATGTTTCAGCGTACATCGTCAAAACAGCCTATGCATTGCGTCAAAACCAGATATAGGAGGCCAGTTCATATGTTTGGTATCCTTAAAATATGGGCAAGTCCCATGTGAGAGATTGTGTCATGCCCCAATCGGAGCCTGAATCTGGGGAGGAAGATGAGCCTGAGCTGGAGTTGACAGAGGTCAAGGGGGCAGCTGTTGGCTTCGGAAGAATGTGGGGAGGAGCAGACTGAGTCAGACCGAGGCCTCTCAGGATTGGGACGGCTTGTTAGCAGGGAGGAACAGGGGCAGGATGACCGAAAGAGAGGGCAAGAGAGGGCAAGCAGTGGACAAGAGGAGCGACGGAGCTCAGGCGATGAGCAAAGGATTGCCCCCTCCTGATCCCCGAGCATGGAGAGTGGAGAGAAGGCGGGAACAGTGCAGGCTGAGCCAACAACTCAGGAGGAGAGCGTCCCGCCCCTCTTCAAAAGGCACACCTAGGGACTGAGATTTAAGGAGACGCTGTGGAAGGGGCATTTGTCAGGAACAAACGCTGAATTGGTAGAGTTTGGTGGGCCACTACAAACATGTGGAATTTGCAGGATCGCTTGCTTTTTCCTTACTTGGTGGACTCAGTGCCGTGTTCCTGACTTTGTGGAGTTAGCACCGTGTTCCTTACTTGGTGGACTCCTTGTTTGTTCCTTGTTTCGTGGACTCGTTTCCCCGTTCCTTTGTTTTGCAGGACTGGGCGCAGCCAGAGGCTGCTGTTCTGTCCCTTCCCATGAGTGACCTTGCAGAGGCTCAAATAGCCCGGCAGTAACAAACGCAGACTAGAGAGGCTGAAGCTGGCTCTTTAATGAACAGTTCTCTTCCAAAGCGTATATCAGTCCAATAATTACCGGGCAATGTTCCAAAGGTCTTGGCAGACAGCCAGCAGGCTAATGCCGGAATGCAGACTCTTGTCAAAAACTCCAAACCAACAGTTGTAACTCCACTGCATCCAAAACGCCAACAAATTGTTCACCACGCCTTTCCAGCCCAGCCACACCCCTTTTATACTTTGTAGGGTGTGGCCCTACGTGTCCTGACCACACCTCTTAGGACGTGGCAATAGCTGTTCTCTACGACATCTCCTACGTCTCTCTCTTGCATCCAATAGGGCCCCCCCTCGTCGTTACCGGCCTCTGTTTCCTCCTCAATTTGGCTGGGGTCCATAGCACGTCAGCAACTGTCAATTCTTGCTGACTCACCAGTGAAGACGGCCCCTCTGGCACATAGCTCATGACAGCTTCCTCCTCCTCCATATCATCCTCCAACTCAGCATGCGAAGATAAATCAGCCTCCGGGGCCGGGGTCACAACAGCTGCCGTGTGTGTATATGTATATATATATATATATTTTCTCAGGTTTTCGCGGGTGTTTGTATGTAGGTCTTTGGTTATTCGGGTCTTCTCCCACGTAAAATTGGAAGTGTCTTGGCGACGTTTCGACGAAGTCTGATTCGTCATCTTCAGGCTGGTGTTCTCGGCTTCGTGCTTCCAGGAGCAATGTGAGATGACTTTTCAAGTTCTGGGACTTTCCAAGAATGTGAGAGCGTTTGGGGGCAAATTTGAAGCATTAAAGGGGAGTTTGAGACTCTCAGCTGGTTTTGTGAATTTCGTGCCTTGTCCCGGGTCATCCCACAGATTGCGATGCTCAACTCTGCTCTCTCTTGCAGTCCATCGTGGCCTATTTCAACAAACACGCAGGCAAAACGAGGGAAGAGGCGAAGCTGGCTTTCCTCAAGATTATATTCCGGTGGCCTACGTTTGGATCGGCTTTCTTCGAAGTGAAGGTGAGGATGCGACCAAGTTGGGTTGCGTTTAAGAAGTGAGGAAGGAGCCCTGTCATTCGGTGGGCTACCCTGAAGAGCAGATGCTGGAGTCAGGAGCAAAAAATAACTCCCTTTTTTCCCCCCGAACCCCCCTCTGAGAGGAGAGCGGTGGGCGATACCTCTTGTTGTGGCCTGGCAGCGGATTCAGACAGTGAGGAGATTGGGGAGGAACATGGGCCATTCTTGGAGTCTGGGGAAGGCTCTGATGAGGGCTCTGCATCAGAGGCAGAGAGGGGGCCAGGGCCGTCTGACAGTTGTCAGCTGCCTTCGAGTCGGACATCAGTGAGGCAGACGAACAGCTGGAGCCTGTTCCAGGGTGCACATGCGCAGAGTTGCCAGATGAAGGGATTGGAGACCCCTATCCTACAGCATTCACAGTCATGACTATCATCATCATCTTCTTTTAACGACGCCATAATCCCTTGCGGGTGGAGTCTGGCCAACTGAATCGAGCTGTTTTAATGGCCGAACGCCTTCCCTGTCGCCGATGAGGAGTTTTGTTCAGCAGATATATTCTCATTGTGCCCAGAGAGAGAGAGAAATATCTGCCTCTACCTTGGATCGAACTCACAGCCTCCTGATGGTGAGGCGAGAGCTCCACCTCCAGGCCACCGCACCACTATTCACAGTCATGACTGTGATGTAACAAAAGTATATTCCTGATCAGCATGGAAAGGTTGTGGGATCTTCCGTAGAGCTGTGGTAGCAGAACCAGGCTTGCTAGTTTGCACGTCATCTTCTCAGCCAACTAACACACCTCCACCTTCCTTCCTCAACAGCAAACCACTGACCCAAATTATCCAGAACTGCTCCTGGTTGCCATCAACAAACACGGCATCAGCCTCATTGACCGTAAAAGCAAGGTGGGTCCTTGAAGTAGGACCTCTAGATTCTGGATTCTATGTTCTATGTTTTGTTCTGTTCTGTTCTTGTCCTTGAAGTAGGACCTCTATGTTCCATGTTCCATGTTCTATGTTTTGTTCTGTTCCATTCCGGTCCTTGAAGTAGGACCTCTTCTATGTTCTGTGTTTTGTTCTGTTCTGTTCTGTTCTGTTCCAGTCCTTCAAGTAGGACTTCTATGTTCTATGTCCTGTTCTGCTCCGTTCAGTCCTTGAAGTAGAACTTCTATATATGTTCTAGGTCCTATGTTTTGTTTTGTTCTGTTCTGTTCTGTTCTGTTCTATTCCGGTCCTTGAAGTAGGACCTCTATGTTCTGTTCTGTTCTGTTCTGTTCTGTTCCATTCTGTTCCAGTCCTTCAAGTAGGACCTCTATGTCCTATGTTCTGTTCTGTTCTGTTCCAGTACTTCAAGTAGGACCTCTATGTTCTATGTCCTATGTCCTATGTTTTGCTTTGTTTTGTTCCATTCCATTCCAGTCCTTGAAGTAGGACCTCTATGTTCTATGTTCTGTTCTATTCTGTTCTGTTCCGGTCCGGTCCTTGAAGTAGAACCTCTATATTCTATGTTCTATGTTTTGTTCTGTTCTGTTCCATTCCGGTCCTTGAAGTAGGACCTCTATATTCTATGTTCTATTTTGTGTTCTGTTCTGTTCTGTTTCATTCTGGTCCTTGAAGTAGGACCTCTATATTCTATGTTCTGTTCCGTTCCGTTCCGTTCCTAAAAGGCACCTAATCCCTCGTCCATGCCTCTAGGACATCCTCATCACCCATCCCTTCACGAAGATCTCCAACTGGAGCAGCGGCAACACCTATTTCCACATCACCATCGGCAATTTGGTGCGAGGGAGCAAGTTGCTGTGCGAGACGTCACTGGTAAGGAGGAAACGTGGCCAGCTCGTGGGGGTGGGGGGTGGGGGGGGGCAGATGAGAAGCAGTGATAGAAATGGCTGGAGGTCTAGGGAGATGCTCCATCGTCCAAGTCATGGTTGTCCCAAAGGTGCTTTTTCCAAAGGCGACCGGACTTCCTTTGTTTTTTGCTTGAAGACATTTCGCTTCTCATCCAAGAAGCTTCTTCAGTTCTGAAAAGCACCTTCAGGACGAAAAAATGGCTGGCTCTCACACAAACAAGTATAGTTAGCCCTTGACTTACAACTAAATCTAAAATTGGTTACTACCGGTTCTGTGGACGTGGCTTGGTGGTGGTGGTGGTGGGGGGGGGGTGTGGTGTGGGGTGGGTTTTTTTTTGTTTTTTACTTCAATTTTTTTTTTTTTTTTTACTTTTAAAACCATTTTTTTCTACAACCTCTTCGGCGAAGAGGTTGTAAAAAAATGCTTTCAAAAGGCTCTGACGATCCCAGCTGAATTTTCTGATTGGCAGAGGCTTTTTTTTTTCTTTTAAATGCCTCTGACGATCAGGCAACTCAGCTGGGATCATCAGAGGCTTTTTTTTTTTACTTTTAAAAGCATTTTTTTCTACAACCTCTTCAGTGAAGAGGTTGTAAAAATATGCTTTCAAAAGGCTCTGACGATCCCAGCTGAATTTTCTGATTGGCAGAGGCTTTTTTTTTTTTTTAAATGCCTCTGACGATCAGGCAACTCAGCTGGGATCATCAGAGGCATTTTTTTTTTTTTTACTTTTAAAAGCATTTTTTCGGCCGAAGAGGTTGTAGAAAAAATGCTTTTTAAAGTAAAAAAAAAAAAAGTCTGATGATTGTGCGGCTCAGCTGGGCATTGTGGGGGGGGCGGGGCAGGGATTTTTGCTACCGGTTCTCCGAACCACCTGCCTCCATCGCTACAGGATCGGGCGATCCGGTCCGAACCAGGACATTTCACCCCTGAACTATATGTTTAGGATTTATATTCCTTGCAGACAGCTGGTCATTTGCATCCTTTTTAGAGAGTCGTTGAGGCCACTTGGAGGCTTGTCTGTGTCCTCGGGGTCACCTGAGTGGTGCAAATGGGTGTGGAGGCTCCTTGGAACTGCCGAAAAGGTTGTGTTGTGGAGTTGTGCTTTCTGCAAGATGTTTCAGCAGTTCCGAGAAGGCTCCACACCTATTTGCACCACTCAGGTGTCCCTGAGGACACAGACCAGCCTCCAAGTGGCCTCAGTGACTCCCTAAAAGGATGCAAATGAACAGTTGTCTGCACGGAATATAAATTCTAGCAAGGGGTTCTCTGCCTGGTTGCTGGGTGGGCGTGGCCATGGTGGGCGTGGCCTAGTCAGCCTCCTAAACCACGGCGGGGAGGTGTTTTTGCCCTCCCCAGGCTCCAGAGGCTCTTCTCGAGCCTCCGGGAGGGCGAAAACAGCCTCCCCAGGCTCCGGAGGCCCTCTGAAGGCCAGAAACGGGCCCGTTTCCGGCCTTCCCAAACTTCCGGTAGGCCAGTTTTTTGCCCTCCCTGAACCTCCACGCGCACCCTACACTTACTTGCATCCAAAACTGGCTGTGTGGGGACTCTTGGGAGGGGAGCGGTGGGCGGGGCCAGCCAGGAGTGGGATTTGGGGGTTCTCCGAACTGCAGCGAATCTTAGCTAGAGGTTCTCCCGAACCCCTGCGAACCCCCAGCAGCCCACCCCTGGATACAGGTAGATTCCAAGTGGCCTCAACGACCCTCTAAAAGGATGCAAATGACCCAGCTGTCTGCAAGGAGTATAAATCCTTCCGTTCCCCACCATCCAGTCAGAGCTGAAGAAGCTTCTCGGATGAGAAGCGAAACGTCTTCACAGAAAAAACAAGAAATGTCTTGGGGGGGGTGGGGAAAGCCGTTTTAGGATAAATCAAAAGACTTGTACAAGGATTAGAACCTAATTTTTTTCCCCCCTTCTTCTCCTCTTTTGCGCCAGGGCTACAAGATGGACGACCTGCTGACCTCTTACATCAGCCAGATGCTGACCGCCATGAGTAAGCAGAGGGGCGCGAAAGGGAGCAAGTGAATTGAGACTACCCGCTGGCCGCCCCTCCGCCAGCTGCGGGCCGTGGGCTACCCTTGCAGCTGGGGCAAAACGTTTGCAACTCACATGTGGAAAATGAGCTGGACGCCTCCCGAAAACCTGTCGGATTCTGAGGACTCCGAGCAAACGTCCACTTCGAGCGAGGATGATTACTTGTGAGGGGAAAAAATAAACATAAAACCAACCACCACTTTTCTTTCTTTCCCACCAGCACTGATTATTATTATTTTCCCTCACAACTTCTGGGATATTCACCTCTGCTTCTGTTTCGGATGTAATACCAGATTGAAAAAAAGAAAAAAAAAATCTGCTTTTTTTAGGGCATACGGAGAGGTTAGGATTTTTTTTAAATTTTTTTTTTGCAAACGGGCTTCGAGAAAGCTGTTGAAGGAACCAGAACTCTGCTAGAAATGGGATAATAATTCCATTTAAAAAAAAAAAATCTTCTGGGGTTGATTTATTTGTTTGTTTCCTGAGGGAAGAAATCAAGTAATCTTTTAAAGAGTGGTGTGTTTTGTTTTTTTTAAAGAAAGCATCGGAAAGACAGAAAAAAGGATGTTTTGCAACAAAAAAACAAAAAAAAAAAGAAAAAGAAAAAGAAAACAGCAGTTGGACAAATGGAGAGATGAGGCTTTCAATGTGCAATAACTGAACTGAGGATTTGATTGGAGTCTCCTGCTTAAACGGGGTTGGACTAGAAGACCTCCAAGGTCCCTTCCAACTCTTATTATTCTGTTTTTTTCTCTGTCTTATTTATCCCGGCAAGGGGACTTTTCAAAGTTGATCTAAACTGAGACCACTTTGAGTCAAATTTCTGATAGATCTGCCTCCTTTTTTTTTGTGAAGAAATTAAGTTTAAAAAAGAAATATACCTTGTTTCTAAGGGGAGGAGAGAGTGAAGGAATTTTTTTTGGACACTGCCTCGGGAAACTTGAATTGAGGAATGACGCTGAAAACACGTTAAATATATATATATTTGTTCATTCCAGGTTCAGTCTAGGATTGAGCTGACAAATTATTCCAGGCTGAACATTAAAATCAGAATACCGTTTACTCCTTCACATTGTTCCTCTCTCGTGACCCAATGAAATATCCCTGGAGGAGGAAAACGCTACTGAATTCTTTCCATTTTGAACGTGCAATAAAGAAAGAAAGAAATTTGTCCGATTTGAATTTCTTGATATGTACGTGGTAAATTTTAGGAAGATCCGAGGGATGAAACAGAAGTTTCATTGTAAGGGGACATTGAGTGAGGTTTCCCCTCATAATTTATCCACAAACTTTTAACACAGAACGGGGAGGAATTTTTGGGGTGTTTGTATGTAGGTCTTTGGTTATTCGGGTCTTCTCCCACGTAAAATTGGAAGTGTCTTGGCGACGTTTCGACGAAGTCTGATTCGTCATCTTCAGGCTGGTGTTCTCGGCTTCGTGCTTCCAGGAGCAATGTGAGATCGCAGCTGTCTCTTCCTTTTAACTGCTAGTGGGGGTGTGAGCTGATTGGGTGGGAACTTGGCTGTGTTCTGATTGGTTAGGGGCTTGGCTGTGCTCTGATTGGATGGGGGGTTGGTTGTGCTCTGATTGGCTGGGGGTGTGTTCTGTTTGGGTGGGGGCTTGGTTGTGCTCAGCTTAGTCTGAGTTGCAGGGGGATTTGAGCTGGTGAGCTGCGTTGTTGTTGTTTGGCTTCGTGTTTGTGGCCGGGACCCCCATCCAATCCGAGCACAGCCAAGCCCCTAACCAATCAGAACACACCTCCACTCAATCAGAACACAGCCAAGTTCCCACCCAATCAGCTCACACCCCCACTAGCAGTTAAAAGGAAGAGACAGCTGCGATCTCACATTGCTCCTGGAAGCACGAAGCCGAGAACACCAGCCTGAAGATGACGAATCAGACTTCGTCGAAACGTCGCCAAGACACTTCCAATTTTACGTGGGAGAAGACCCGAATAACCAAAGACCTACATATATATATATATATATATATATATATGTATAATCTCCATGTGATTCACTTAACAACGGCAATGATGTCCCTTGACATGGCCAAAAAAAGTCATAAAATTGGGCGTGATTCAACTTAACTGCCTGTCATGCCCCCGTTGGAGCCTGAATCTACAGAGGAAGACGAGCTGATCTCCGACAGAGATTGAGGGGGCAGCTTCATTGGCTTCGGAGGAATGTGGAGGAGCAGAATGAGGTAGCCCAGGGCCCCTCAGGATTGGGACGGCTTGTAGGCAAGGAAGAAGGTGGGGGCAGGATGACCAAGAGAAGCTAAGCAGTGAACAAAGGCGATGAACCAGGACCACCCCTTCCTGATCCTCGAACAAGGAGAGTGGAGAGAAGGCAGGAACAGCGCAAGCTGACGCGACTACTCGGGAGGAGAGCGCCCCACCCCTCTTCACAAGGCACACCTGGGGACTGAGCCTTAAGGGGATGCTATGAGGAGGGGCATTTGTCAGGAACAAACGCTGAATTCATGGAGTGTTGGATGTTTCCTCGACTTCTTGCTCCATAGGTTAATTGCCTTTTGTTCCTTTGCTTCCTGGACTCCTGGACATCTTCCCTTGCCCTGCTGGATTTCTTGCTTTGCAACCCTTGCGCTCACAGCGTTGTGCTGGACTACTTGCAACCAGAGGCTGCTGGAGGTGTGATATGTGTGATCACTTTGCTCTGGGACTTGCCATCAACGTGGCAGCGTTTGGGGGAAAAGTTGGAGCAATAAAGGGGCGGTTTGAACTATTAGCTGACTGTGCTGCCTCTGTGCCGTGCCCTGGATCATCACACTGCCTTGCTTAGCGATGAAAATTCTGCTCCCAATTGTGGTCATAAGCTGAGGATTACCTATATAGGCATGGGTACAGAACAGGGGTGAAACGCTACCGGTTCAGGCCGGTTAAATTAGCCACACGGTTGTTAAGTGAATCGGGGTTCCCGGTGGACTTTGCTTGTCAGTAGGTCGCAAAAGAGGATCGCCTGACCCCCCCTACAACCGTCGTAAATATGAGCCTGTTGCCAAGTGTCTCAATTTTGATCACGTGCTATGGTCGTAAGTGTGAAAAACGGTCATAAGTCACTTTTTTCAGTGCCGGCGTAACTTCGAACTGTCACTAAATGGACGGTTGTAAGTTGAGGAGTGCCTCTATTTCCACCAACCTTAAATAAAGAATATATCCAGGAAAAAAAGCTATTGGCATTCATGTTGTAAAAAAAGAAACAATGAAATTTGATTCTTTATTAGCAAAGAGAGAGAGAGAGAAGGAAGGAAAGAAGGAAGGAAAGAAAGAAGAAAAAAGAGAGAGAAAAAGGAAGGAAGGAAGGAAGGAAGGAAGGAAGGAAGGAAGGAAGGAAGGAAGGAAAAAAAGAAAAAGGAGAAAAATATTTTCTGTTTCAAGAAAACACAAAAATAAAAAGCATTGTCCAGTTTCATTATGCAGTGTGTTAGCTTCACATTAATTTCTCTGGAAGAACGAGCAGCCTGTGCCAGAATCTCCCATCTGAATGGCGTTGTGATTCTCTACGCAAGAGATCCATCATTCGTTCACAACCGGCATTTTTGGCAATTCTGAAAATATACAAGGATGTTAAGTCCTTCGTGCGGACACCAATCCAGGCCGCTGAGGACCAAGAAAGGTTCATCCAAACTTAGATTAATTACGTAGAACCGTATTTCTCTTTAAGATGGGTGCACTTCACCTCCCAGTCTCCTGCCTGAGCAGGGGGTTGGACTAGAAGACCTCCAGGGTCCCTTCCAACTCTGTTATTTGGTTATTCTGTTATTATTTATCACGGCAAGGTGACTTTTCAAAGTTGGCCTAAATCGAGGCCACTTCGAGTCAAATTTTTGTTAGATTTGCTTCCTTTTTTGAAGAAATTAAGTGGGGGAAAAATGAAGTGGAAGGGATTTTTGTGATCCTGCATCGGAAAACTTGAATTGTGGAATGACGCTGGAAACACGTTGCTAAAAAAACATGTTTGTCCGTTCCAGGTTCAGTCTGAGATGGAGTTGACAAATTATTCCAGGCCAGTGATGGCGAACCTTTTCAGCACTGAGTTGGTGCACTCGTCTGGGCCGCAACCTGGGCGCCCAGGGTGCATGAGCACGCCCGAAAATGAACTTCCGGTTTCTGGCATGTGCATGTGTGCCCACCAGTTACCCTTTCTGCTTTCTGGCACGCATGTGCATACGACGATCAGCTGTCCGACGCACATGCTCACACAGGAAAATGGAAGACCAGCTCCTCCAGTTTCCAGCACTACAGCACGCAAAAAGGCCAGCTGCGTACATGCGTGCCAAGAGGAACAGGCGACGTCGCGTGTGCCAGGTGACGTGGCTCCATGTGGCATGCGTGCCATAGGTTCGCCATCACGATTCTCAGCTGAACATGAAATTAGAATACCGTTTACTCCTTCTTGAAGCCGGTATCCCATTGAATTATTCCTGGAGGAGGAACGCTACTGAAATTTTTACATGCTAGCTGGGGAATTCTGGGAGTTGAAGTTCACAGATCTTGAAGCTATGGAGACTGAGAAATATTATTTCCAGTTCTAATGCTTTGCACCCCCAACCGCTACCGTTAAGAGAGCAGTTCCAAAGAAAATAAAAACTCGCTAATATACAGGTAGTCCTCAACTTACAAAGATTTGTTTAGTGACCGTTTGAAATCCACCAGGTTCTGACAGGTGCTGGAGAACCGGTAGCGGAAATTTTGAGTAGTTCGGAGACCTGGCAAATGCCACCTCTGCCTGGCCCCAGGGTGGGGTGGGAATGGAGATTTTGCAATATCCTTCCCCCAGGAGTGGGGTGGGAATGGGGATTTTGCAGTATCCTTCCCCTGGAGTGGAGTGGGAATGGAGTTTTTGCAGTATCCTTCCCCTGCCATGCCCACCAAGCCACACCACACCCACCAAGCCATGCCCACAGAACCAGTAGTAAAAAAAATTGGATTTCACCACTGTTTTGAAGTTACAGCAGCACTGAAAAAGTGACTTATGACCGTTTTCCACTCTTATAACCGTCGCAGCATCCCCATGATTCTGAGATCAAAATTCAGATGCTTGGCTACAGACTTATATTTACGACGGTTGTAGGGGGTCATGTGATCCTATTTTGTGACCTGCCAACAAGCAAAGTCAATGGGGAAGGCCGATTCACTTAACAACCGTCTTGCTAACTTAACAATTGCAGCAATTCACTTAAAACCAAAGTGTGGCTAGAGAAGGTGGAGCAAAAACTCCCTTAGCAACTGTCTCGCTTAGCAGCCGAAATGTTAGGCCCATTTATGGTCATAAGTTGAGGACTGCCTGTACGGCAACAACACAAAGCCTTATGCCTTACCATTGGATGTAAGATCCGACATTTTCAGGCGCAATTCTGTTTCCGTGGCTAGAGCCTAAATGATTTTTAAACAGATATTATTTCACCGGAGAGGACATTAGAAAAGAAGCAAACATTAAATAAAAATCTGTTTTGTGCTCTTGATGGAAAATCCTATTGTGTGCCTAATGTAGAAGTCCCAGATAAAGAACAGTTCCAGAATTGGGTATGTCCAGTTTAACGAAAAGAAGGACTAGGGGTGACATGATAGCAGTCTCCCAAAATTAGAGAAGTTGCCACCAAGAAGAGGGGGGTCAAAATATTCTCCAAAGCCCCTGAAGGCAGGAGAAGAAGCAACGGATGGAAACTCATCAAGGAGAGAAGCAACCTGGAACTAAGGAGAAATTTCCTAACAGGGAGGACAATTAATCAGTGGAACTACTTGCCACCAGAAGTTGTGAATGTTCCAACAGTGGAAGTTTTTAAGAAGGGACTGGACAACCATTTGTTGGGAATGGTATAGGTTCTCCTGATTGAGCAGGGGGTCAGACTAAAAGACCTCCAAGGTCCCTTCCAACTCCGTTATTCAGATTAAATTCTTGGAACCTCTAGTTGAAAGGATCGAAAAGTTGGTGAGGGTAACGTGAACGTCTAACAAGAGGACCTCAGGCCAAGGGTCTTCCTGTGGATCCCCGCGAAAAGTAGAGCCCCCCCCCAAAGAAGGAAAGACTCACCGCTTGGTCCCTCATCCAAACTGTCTTTCCGAGCTGCCCGTTGCAACTTCTTTTTCCTTTTCCACCTGGAAAGAAATATTTGCACCGTTCATCGTACCTGCCCTTCCCACCGTGA